AAGTTGGAACAAAACTTCCAATTTCATATTTATGCATTAAAACCGGCAACGTCTGCAAGAAAGCATTCGAGTTCAACGCTAGTTTTGGTTTAGCCCATATGTACGCTCAATTCTTGCAGACGTTGCCGGTTTTAATGCATAAATATGAAATTGGAAGTTTTGTTCCAACTTGCCCCCTTGTTCCATGTTACCCCACTCTACGGTATCGCATAAGTACTAACAGATTTTTAATCTAAAACACCACATAATATCAGAATACAATTGTACGTTTCGGTCTGCGAAAGTGACCCTCCTCAGCAACAAATTAACGATTAAACATACTCGGTCCGAAACATAAAATCCGACGTTATGAAATAGCACAATATAGCAGTCATTACAATGAGTGTGTGTCGAAAAGTGTCAATGTTACTTATAAATCGTGGCGGAACCGCGTACAGTGTGTTCGTATATACGTCGTACGGTTCCACTCCATCGTGTTCTCTGTTATTAATGTGTGTTAACGATCAAGAGTACTTCGTTAGGTATCGGAAAGTTGTAAAAAAGAATCAGAAGAACGATAGAATTGTGCTCGAGAAAAGTGTCAAGGTGTGTTATGTACAGAGACTTGAAATGTACTGGCCATGCACTGGCTTTTTGTCAAAAAGACAGAAAACGTAATTGATATTATTTGAAACTTTATTTCTAGCGTTAGTTAAAAATATTCTTCTTTTCCTTTTTCAAGAAAGAAAGGTTAAACAAAAAAAAAGTTTTACTTGATATTCTTTAAAATTGTACAAAGCAGTGTCTTTTAATATTTCATTTCTGATGAACTGTAGATAAATTATATACATATACATATCAGTATCTAAAATTTGCAACCTCTTTACGCAAACCACTGTACACATGTACATTGTGATACGCATACTCGCTAAATTACATTCCATCTATTTTATTTGTTTAAACAGGTCGTGCAAGTCTTTTAAAAACATTGATCTTATTTAAAAACTTTTCTTACTAAAAAGATATAATTTTGATAAAATTAATGCTTGTAAGTTTCCTTCAACTTTGATCTTAGAATTTTTCCGCTTGCATTCTTCGGAATGTCATCAACAAATATGACTCCACCTGAGAAAAGGGAAGAAAACGTACATTACACAATCCTCAAATTTTCCCAATAAAATCTCTAACTACCAGTTCTACTCTGTTTGTGAATTTTTAGATCTAATTCTATTGAATTTGATCTAATGATTGAATGAATACATAACAATTAATTCTTTCTCCAGATATGCGCGACATTTCTTCGGATATCTGGATAATAACTGTTCTAAAGACCGCAACAACCGGTCGATACGGTAATTAAACTGATCGCGAGGCAATTAGAAATTCCATAGTGCTGTAACTGTTGAAGGAAACCGAGTTATACCTTCCAGCTGCTTGTAGTCGGAGACCTTCCCTTTCACAAAGTTCTTAATGTCGTCCTCGGTAGGTTTCTTACCCTTGCTCACCATTACGAATGCCTTCGGTACCTCACCATGCCTCGCATGCGGAATACCAATCACTGCCGCTTCCTCCACGTCTGGATGCATCCGCAGCAACGCTTCCAGTTCCGCCGGTGGAACCTTCGGCCAGGCGAAAATAACGTTTTAAATTAAGAGCGACGAACACTTTAAAACGCCGCCGTGAAATAAGGTACCGTCAAACCGCGCAACTTCGAAACTTTGCGGCGGTATTTTAGATATATTGCAACTGTTATTTATCATCCATTTCCCCAAGGTACGCGAATAATTATTAATTCCAACAATATGACAAAAGTGAAACTAACTTTTGAGCGCGGTACAATTTCTTATCAGGGACTAAAGAAAGAAATGAAAGAATATACATTTTAACACGTTCAAGGACTTCTTAATCAATTTTGTTTTCGGAAATAGTTATCGATATCCATTAAAATAAAAAGAATGAGGCTCTTTTCTTGGCAGAACAAGTTGTTACCTGGAATCCCTTGACTTTGATAAGTTCCTTTAATCTATCTGTAATATAGAAATGGAAATCTTCATCGTAGTAAGCGATATCACCCGTTTTCAGCCATCCATCCTCGGTTAGCGTATTCTTTGTAGAGACTTCGTCGTCTAGATACCCTTTCATAATGTGAGGACCCTTGATCCACAGCTCGCCAGTTTGACCAGCAGTACTGACGTCTTGCTGTGTCGTTATATCTACCAGACGTGCTTGACAGCTTGCCACATTAGCTCCGATGCTAGAATGCTTATGTCCAAGCTCAATAAACGCCACTGGTGAACTTTCTGTCAATCCGTAACCTTGAAAAAATATCGTAGAACATTAAATAAGCAAAATAGATATTTGGGCACATTCTGTCAATTTTCTTTCTTCTTCTCCTCTTTTGCACTTAGATATATTTTAATTTAATTTACATTTACATTCGTATTAGCAAAAACAAGCAAAACAAGAAACTTTATAATAATGTAAAATCTGAATAAGTAGACTCTTCCAAAGAGACACACATACATGACGTATACAATGAAATTCAACGGGACAAAGAAAATTGCAATTCTGATATAAAAACCGTTAACAAATTTTGCGATGCGTATTACTGACACGTAATTTGAAATGTCAAACCATCTCTGAGGCAAAAACAATTTCGCTGAGTAAAGACTGTAACATGTTTGTCCACGAATGTGTTTGGGGAAAAAATTAAATAAACGTTTCCTCGGTTAATACTGATATTTTTCCAAACACAATAAATTTATCAAATTTCACGAATTCGAATGTACGTGCATCAAAACAACTATTCAAACAAGAATAAAATTTAATACGCGATGCCGTTCTCGATACGACGAACTTTATTCCAGAATTGACGTAGCCGATTCGACGGATCTCGTTAAAAATGGAATGTGTACACCGCTCGTTCGTTCAGACTCGCAAAGCCCACAAATGCAAAACTCGTCCCTTCTCTCCTCCTCGACATTTCTACTCCCCCGGAAAAAAAAATTCGAGCCTTCAAAGCTCGCGCATGTCGAAACGCGACCCCGGAAATTCGATCCACGAAACTCGATAAATATCTCGTTCGCCGATGGGTCGAAAATTTCGACGGCTCGATTTTGCGAACACCCACCCTGATGGAACTTCAAGACATTCGGGTTAATGTCGTATTTTTCGTAGAATCTGTCGACGTCCGTTTTGGCGAGCGGTGCAGCTCCGCTCATCATCATATGCACGCGCTCGAAATGATGCTTCTTCACAAGAGGGGAAGCCGTTAGAAATAGCACTATGGGTGGTACGACAAACAGCGCGGTCGCCTGCAAAGTGCCAAACCGGCATTTAACCGGCATTTTTTTAACAAGAAAACACAAATTTTCCAACTGACTGATATGAAAATGACAAAAAAAATTATTTTTACTTTAAATTAGTTTGGATATATTTGATAGCGAGTACTCAGTCTGATATTCTAGCATTCCATATTCTCCTAATAAACTAAAACCTTTAATCAAAAATCTAAAAGAAAAAATTTATTAACATATAGCAAGCGATAAATTACCTTGTGTTTTTCTAATACGTTGACGAACAACTCCGGTGCAAATTTTGGAACGGTGACTATCTTTCCGCCGTAAGCAAGACGTGGAATCATCAAACCATTCAATCCATAAATATGGAAAAATGGTAATACTGCAGGTATTACTTCTTGATGTGTACCTAGAAAAAAAATTAAAAATTTAATATACATGTATACTAGATGTGTCAAAATTATCGAATAATTGTAGAAGACAGAAAACAATTTTAATTAAAAGATTTTTTTAACGACAACTTAGGCTGACATATATTAAATATCAGGTCATTCTTTTCTGATGAAGTAAGCTAAAGTGTTCACGAAAACGGTTGCAAAAGGCAAACTTGAGTGGCTCTAACTCGGAAGCCAAACCTAGTATATCCATTTCAAACTTGCAAAATTTTGAAAGCCTAAACAAGAAGATTGATGTAATAAGATGCTTATTAGATCAAATGAAAGGTACTTGTAGTAGGCTGGAATACATTGCTGATAGTGCTATCAACCATTATTATATTAGACACTAGATTGCGATGTGTTAGCATAACACCCTTTGGTAATCCAGTTGTGCCACTCGAAAATGGTAAAATCGCTATATCGTCGAAAGTTCTGTCTGAATTTACAGGTGGCAATGATTTGCCTCGTGTTATAAGATCCTGAAAAATTGTACACACTTATATTTATCCATTTTTACTTAACCGTTTTCTTTTATAACGTTTAAATATTGCCGACTTATATACGCACGAATGTCTTGATCTATCTTAATACTAACATCAAATGGTATTACACCCTCTGGAATAGAACTAATCTTATCGTCAATCACAATAACCGGAGTTTCACGTGGAAGACATGCCCTTGTTGCGGCGAGCACTGTGGATGCAATTGCGGTCGAAGTGATGACTGCTTTCGCATGGGCTTTCAACATCTGTCTCTGCAGCTCCTCTGAAAATTTTCATCACTTCTACCTATATTGTAACAACACGCTTAAATCGCCCACTTTCCCATTCTACCTTTATTTTATCATTTAAATGTATTTTTACGTGAACCTCGAGTAAAATAAAAGTGTTTGAAATACTATAAGACGACTTACCAGACGTGTACAGCGGATTTACAGTAGTGGTAACAAGTCCGGCTGATGAGTTTCCGAGGAAACTTAAGACTGTGTCCGGAAAATTGGGCGCCACTAATGCCACTACGTCGCCCTTTTTGAGACCCATATTCCGCAAACTTCTGCCGATATAACTTGTCGCATCCTTGGCTTGCGCGAATGTGTATTTCTTGCCACTTACGCCACATTCCTGCGCAAAGAATACCATACAATTGATATTACGTGTTTAAATTCCCCTTACAGTACATCTGTCGTTTGTGAACAAGGCCTAATAGCTAATTACACCTGAATAGCTAATTTATGTGTATATTATATTTGACGATAGGAAGAATTATTAGACGACTTAAACTGGCCAAGTAGTTTCTTTAATAAAGTGTTCCAACGTATCACTGATTCGGATTTTGGTCTTTTTCAAGGAAATAAAATATATATATATTAATTGGTCGTAATTATGATATTAAAAAACGTTGTCATCCAACTCTGGACATTGGTCGGAGAAACTATGGATGATAACGTATTTTAATATCATAATTTTGACCAATTAATATACATGTATATTTTATTTCCTTGAAAAGAACCACAATTCGGATGGTCAAAACGTTAGAATAATTTATTAAATAAACTATAATACTTAGCCAGTTTAAGTCGTCTAATAATTCTTTCTATCGTTAATCAACCACTGGCAATAATAATATTCTTTCTTGTCATTATATTTCACATATAATTACAGTTGATTATATTTTCATTCTTTGCTAACATTCTTTTTATTTTTCCACATACACGCGTATAATTTCCCACATATTAAAATTGCTAAATAATTTATATCGGTTTGTTTGAAAAAAATTAACAATTAGAAGCGTATATATTATACACATAAAAATTATCCATCGTATACAAAATATAGATCTATCACTCTATTGTCTAGTAATTGATTTATATAAATCAAGGAAATTACCAACGCAATATGATTAGAATAATTCTCGCTATCCCTCCAAACAAATTCGTGAATTAAGGTTTCAGGGATATCTTTGGCTTCACCAGCCGAAGGCATGATAATTTTTTCATTGTTTGGTCCCGTCACAATTCGGGTTTGAGATGAGGTCGATGCACGCCTTAACGTGGGGTTCAGTGCCCTTATTCCTCCGTCCAGTACTCGACTCAGCCTCTGAATACCGTGAAATACGTGTGTCGCCATACTCATATAATATCAGCAATGTTAATTTATCGGTAATTAATTCCCCGGCTTGTAATCTGCAAGCGTAATAGATAATTAGTACACGACTTTAAATAAAATCTCAAAATAAATGACAATTTCGTGTATTAGATAAATAATTACAAAGAAATGTTACTTAATTCCGAAAAAATAATTCTTTGAGTTTCAATGTACACATGTTCACATTTTTACTGTACGTTTTTAATTAAGCATTTACATGTAAAAATCCAAAAAGTATAATTTACATAATACCTTTTTGTAAAAAAGACGTGTAAAAATTAAATATAAAGATTTAAATATACATGTAATTTCCAATAAAATATCAACGTAAAATATTATGTTTAAATAAAAATATTGTGATGTAAAATTTCACACGAAATAATAGGACTCGTTTTGCTAATTTATTGGTAAATGAGAATCAGTTTTGCACTTCTTGAATAATAAATCATCGAAAAAATATCGCGTAATAACTTCCGCGTAGTCAATTAATGTTTTAAACATTACGTTCATAGTCCAGTATGTGTTATCTACTTACTCGTTGAACTACTTACTCGCGATACTCTTTCATGTATTGATCATTATAATTAATCGATTATTTCATTTGATGCAAAAATTATGAAGACGGAAATTATGAAGACGAAAAAAACCTTTGTTTTTGTTTCGAATAAGTGTATTTATTTACCGAAATAATTGTAGTAGCGAGCAATTTAGTAACTTCCTAATCACTGAAGAATCATGAAAAACTGAGTAAATTTTTCCGTCCCCGTCACGCAAGAAAACGAAAGGAGAAAAATAAAAAGTAAAATACGCTGCAACTAAAGAAATTAATCACTCGTCATTAAACTGTTACTAGGTATTATTAACAGAAATAATTTCTAGAAAATCTCTTCTTTTTTAAAAAGGAAACTATTCATTTTCTTTATAAAAAAAGTAAAATGTTTTCTCTGTTCTCCTTTCTTTTAAGTGGAGAACGGAACTTCATAGAAATGTCTTGATCTTACAATTAGTAAAAGATTCCTATAATACTTAAATTGTTAAAATAAAATTTTATCTCCAATAGTTTCTTAAAAAGTATATAAAAATTAACGAAATAATAAAATTAGCAAAACATGTTACATATAAAATTATACAAGTAATGCCGGCTATTTATTTATTACTTTTTATGTTATAAAGGAAATTGTAACAGCTTAATAATTATTTATAAAAAAACAAATTCTTAAAAATATTTCGCTGTAGATAAGAATTTACGTTTGTAATTATTTGTACATAAAGTATATTTTATATTTACGATATGTTATCTTTATAACGACGTAATTTTATATGAAATATGATAAAGTAAATGATAAAAGTATTAACTGCTTGTTGGTCTTTCAAATGTTATAGACTGGGTTCCGATATTCACTGTCTAAAAGGCATGTCTAAAGGCATCTTCAAGACGTCTTTAAATCGTCTTTTAAACATATATATCTAAAACATAACTTATAGACGTCTTAAAAATGCCTTATAAACATACGTGTTGTTTGGGATGAGCGTCATGTGGACTATAAATTTTCAACATAAAGAATATTAGTACGCAACCTCACAACAGCTAGAATTTGTAATAACTGAACTTTACGAGTGTATATTGTTATCTTCTCGTTTTTGAATTAATCGTTTTCAAACGTTCAAGTTTATTTTTAAACTCGTATCAAGGCGTTAAAATCAGGGGCACGTCTACTACACTGATATGAGTAGGCCAATTGTGTAAAAACATGCTGCCTCATCTTAAGAATTGAAAAGTAATTAAAGTCAACAATGCACAATCGAATGCTTAACCAGATAATATATAAACCGTTCAAAGTTCAAAAGCTACTTTTAACACTTCCTCTTAACCGCTAGATTATTACTCTAAAGAGATATGTTATCATTATCAATACAGAAATCCAATTCTCAAAATTTCAGATAATAAAGAATTTTTCTTTTGCATGAAAATATATGGTTTATATAGAGCAATTATGTATATGAAGATATATGAAGATATATAATATTTGGACATTATTATTTACATATTACTTAAATAATAAATGCATTATCTCATATCAGTTATTCACACTTTTTCATATTATATTTGCTAAATAACAAGAATTGCGAAAAGTTGTATTTTACATATTTTTATTTATAACATAACTTTTTATTTCACATGTTTTATGCAACAGAACTCTTGATATGACTCATTTGTCTTATCACAGGCACGTGTGGATAATATCGTATAAATCCTTTGAATAATTATATTCATGATCAAAGAGTAAATTTTTTTTAACGGACATTTGATATTATTTATAGAAATGTTTAATGCATGAAATATTTATCTAATATTATATAGTGATAAATTGAAAGTATTTGATTTTTTATATTACAAAAATAATTTTCAAGACCATTTAAGACTACTATGTGAACAAGAAGTAATTTATGTTAATAATAATTTTACATTTTGAAATAACAAAACTTGGTATAATTAATTAAAGTTAGTTCTATTCTGTAACCAATAATAGATGTGAATAGCTCTTAGAAAATAAACAATATCATTACGACTGCGTAGTGATAAATGCATAAGAACAGAAGGTTAAGTGAAACCACATGATTCTGCGTGCACATAACTGCACACACGCATACACGCATATACCATATATCCATATAATAATTAATCATAAAGGTTCATGACTAAAAGAGAATTATGTCGAGAGTTATTTATTACGTGTTGAGACTTACTGGCGCTTACTGTTACCAAGAAAATATTTGCTAGCCAGCAAAATACTGTTCACATCGTATTATTAATTATCATGTTTCAACCTACATTACATAACACATGTTTCGTTAGAGAACGCATGCGCAAACATAGCGGACGCAGGTATTTTTAATGATAATTAATTCAGTAATTATCTATCGTTTCTTTAAGTTGAAGGACAAAAACAATGGAGTTTGGAAGACTTTTACATTAAGTTCTAGATCAGAAAATTTGAAATACTATTCATATAAATGATTACCTATATAAAATATGATCGTTTCCAAACGGAATGTTTGGATACTGATTCTACTTTACTGATTACGTTATAAATGTTATTTATTCTTTCCATAATTCGGATATCCACGTTTGTAAACACATTCTGTAGGTTATCTTTACTTTTGTCGAAAGTAACTTACATTTTCAAATTCTCTATAGTTAAATACAAAAATCGTAATATCACTATGTATAAATGCTGCTGAGCATTGCAATATATATATATTTTTTTTATATATGCTTGGTAGTGCGCAGTTTGATAGTCTAAATATAAATATTTCAGTTAGATTGTCCGAGTGTTTAAAATTAATTTTCTCGAAAACAGATTGAATAAGTTAATTTTATTTTTGTACAGCATATTTTTGCCACAAAGCATCATTTTTAGTAGTATAAGTATTTACTAGATATTTTACACCATTATACTCAAATTTTCAGAAATTCCGACAAATTTTAATCAATCTTACGTCTCTTTATGCGTGGTAGATCGTGGTTCGGGAATCTCTGTCTATTTTTAGAGATGGTAGAACGCTATCTCGTTGACGGCAATATCTCGTTATCACACGATGTTCTGGCAAGAAGTCAGGCAACGTCAGTTAAAACGTTCTAGAAACTGCTAAAGCTTGCAGTTTTGCACAGTATTTCGCAAAACAACTGACACACACTGAACCGTTGCCAGTTAGATCGCCGTCGATCGATCGTTCGGTCACCGACACGACGTTTACGCGGCCAGTTTCACTGGCGGACTGCCGACGGCGTCGACTTCAACAAACCGGCTGAACTTCAGACGAGACGATATCTGACTCCCCACCATTGACTTGTCATGCTAGAAAATTGCATGCGGAAGAAACAAAAAGGAAAGGAATTTAAAAAATGCCGTTCGCTAAGCTGTTACAAGCTGAATACATAAAGATACAAAAGGTACAATACAATACAATAGACCCACAATCAGCATGCCTGTCCTTAGACAAATGGAAAGAGAAGTAAGTCGTCGGGCAAGCCCTATTATTGTTTGTCCGGCGCAGTGAAAGGAACCACTCTTTTGTAGCCATGGGCAGCGAAGGACAGAGATTCACCTTTGCTTTGCCCCTCTCTCTCTCTCTCTCTCTCTCTTATACCAACAGTTATCATTCGTGTGTCACAATTATCTAATGTTTCAAAACATTTTTTTATTGTGTTACTGTGATGTACTTTTACTAGTTTATTAGTCATAATTAATAGAATACGACGATACAATAAAAGATTTAAATTAAAAACAGTATTAGGCTCGTATTAAATTAATAAGATTAAATATAATGGGCCAATAGGCTAAACGAGCGATGTCGGTTTTTAAAACATTTTAATAAATAATGTGATATGATCTTAGTCTATATAATTAAAACGGGAATAATAAAAGAATCCCTAAATACAAATAATTTACTGATCGGAAATTCTTCAGGGTCGCCAGCAAAAATTAAAAACATCAAACTTGGTTGACCATATCTGGCAATTTTAATGGTAAATTATCACGACGTTTCGACCATGGGTTTTGGTCCTTTTCAAGTGATCATATCTGTGGTAATTGTGTGTATAAATTCACATATACGTTGGTTTTGAGAGGATAATCATTATGATATGTTCAGCGAGTGTTAACTTAGCTTGCGCACTGACAAAATATGACTTGACAAATAATTTAATCTAACGAACGTTTCGACAGTACTTTGTCTTCTTCAGCGCGTATATACTAAAATAAAATTACAAAAAAATTTTACATCTGCCAATGTAGAACAGGATTGATACTACTGGACCAACTTAAACCATTTGATTTTTAAAAAACTGACTACTCCGGAAAATGGGTTCGTTCTGACTTTCAAGTAAGCAATCAAATATCGACAAAAAATTTCGCATCGTAATATTTAACCGACATGTAAATTTTTATCCTTTATTGTAATTTTATTTTAGTATATACACGCTGAAGAAGACAAAGAACGAAACGTTCGTTAGATTAAATTATTTGTATTTAGGGATTCTTTTATTATTCCCGTTTTAATTATACATATAGACTAAGATCACATCACATTATTTGTTAAAATGTTTTAAAAACCGACATCGCTCGTTTAGCTTATTGGCCCATTATATCTAATCTTAATAAAAGATTTTTCTGATTACGTGAAAAAAGATATTTTACAAACATCAGATAATAATTAGAAATTAATTTTATTGAGAAATAGCCGAAGAAAGATATCTCGTATACAACCAACTGTGACGCAAAGAAATTATTAATATGTAATGACATTCTTAAAAATAATTAAGATTTTTAGAATAATAATAAGACTTTATATAAGTTTGTTTAATTATGAATTACATTTCATCTTTTTTTTTTCTTGAAATCCCGCTGTTTATATTTAAAAGTGATAAAAAATTGCACGTTTAACATTTGTTTTTACAGAAATAAAAGATAAAAGAAAATTTATTTCTTAAAGTTAGTTTTTTACACTCGGGAAAAACACTTTCAAATTAATCCTGTTAATAAAATTAAGATAACGCGAAATTTATAATAACTATTAAACATCTTAAAGTTCTTTGATTAGACAAGATATAAAACTGCTTTGTAAAATTTTTTAACCAGAATGTACAAAAACAAGAATGCGCACACATCGTGTACATTTACATATGTACATATCAATTATGTAAAACGTATATTTACCGTGCATAGTAAGGAATTCTTTAAATCTATGAGATTTATCATGAAATTTTATTATTTTTTCTATTACTACGATGATACATTTTTTAGTATTAATAAATTTATCAGTTTGACAAGTAGTTGTGCAAATACATTTCATATCTGAAACCAACGATATAATTGTTTGCACTTGTGGAGTTTTTACTGCTTGATATCAGAAGATTTAAACTGCATCTCTGATTATTAAAGAAGTTAAACAGGTTTTCTTTGACCTTGTTCTCGTGTATATTAGATTTCGCTACGCTTATACTTGGCGCGAGATGCTGCCGTGTCTCTTGATCTTCGAAGACGTAAGATATTTCATCCTCTTGCCATCTAGCGTTTTACCTGAGGCAACGAGAAGTGCATTGCTTTTACCATGATGGATTAAAAATATTGCGCTCGAAATTTCTTATGTAATGATATTATAAAACGTTTCAGGTATTACAATAATAACTAATATTACAATAATAATTTGAAAACTTACAAATATTTCCGACTACGTTCGGCCGCGGTCTATTAAGTGTTTTTAAAATACTGATGATTCATGTAGCCTTCGACATCCCATTTCCAGTAATAAATCAATCTATCACACTTTCACATATGTATTTGCCTCGGGCGATAGAATGAAACACTGTACATATGGGTTTCTTTACTTGTTTGAAATGCATTATCATCATTATTTGTTACTTGTAACTCTAAAAACTTTTGATTTGTCATCGGTGTAAATTTCGTTACACATAAACTACTTACTCGCATAATAATTATTTTATTATTTCTTACTTAGGAATGCATAATGTTTACGACCTGAGCTGTTATCTGTTTTACTTAATGCATAATGTTTATGACCTGAGCTGTTATCTGTTTTACTTTTAAACTCCACTTACGTTAACGTAAGTGTAAAACATAAGTAACGTTAAAGTAATATAAACGTTAAAGTAACATAATAAACGTAATATTGCAGACCTTATCGTTCATAGTAACACATTTTTTCATAAAGCCGCTGAAGTCGCAATTTCTGCGCATTGGTCGTTTCTAGCTTATCGAAACGGTAGTGCGTCGGCGCATCTTCATCGACGCCGACGCCGACGCCGATGACGTTTCGCGAGGCAGGACCGTCTAAGAAAGCCTTTCACTACTACGTATTGAAAAATTTTAATGCAACATAAAGTATCTATTTAAACACACAGACATGTTTATATTGAATAAAGGTAAAATTAATTATAAAAGATAATCGAAGCGCAGCACAACGGATTTTAAAAGATTATATTTGTAGTTTGTTTTTGGAAGAAGATATAAATACATTTACACGCGCTGTAAAGTGAGTAAATTAAGGATACACACGGGGATTCCATTATGATATACACGAGGATTCCATTATAATATACACGAGGGTTCCATAATAAACCGCTGATACGTATCAAATTAAGCTTTATTTATCTAGCTAACCCTAGCGCTACGTACGCCGGCATTGCGACACCCCTGTATACGCTTGAAACCTGCGCCCAAGGGTGACGGCCATGTCGACGTGGACCCTGCAGTGCTCCCCCGTTGCAACCCGCGTATACCCTCCGCTGGCGGCGACTCGCACGAAGAAAGGGCCGTTCTCAGGAAACGGACAGGATTATCTCGAAGCAAGTAATCGTCGCACCAGATTACTCTTGCACGCAGCATTTGGGCTATGAATGAAGACCCAACCCTTTCACCTCGAGGTAATCATCCCCTTACCTACTTAGCGGTGTATCTCGTGTATCGTATTCGCTCGATGTGCTCGGGGGAATTTACGGGGCGAAATTAAAGTCGTCTAATGAAAAGGGTCACGGGTCCTCGTAGATAAGGAAACGCGCTTCAGCGTGCCGTGATTAAAGATATTTAAAAAGGTATTAACATGCGTGAGCGAGTGGCGACGTTTTTATCGATTGCATTACTTATGCATGTGTGCCTCGAGGAAGAGTATTCTTTGGCTGTACACATATATCGTTACGGAGTGTATAAGGTTGGTACATCCACTCGTGCGTCACTTTGACGTTTGCCATTTATTAGTCGATCGTAATGCGGCCTTAATTAAAATATCATGCACTTGAATAAAGTAACTCTCTATATTGTGTCGAAAAGAAAACACGTATTAGTGCATTTTGCGCCGTTCGAGAGCGTCTGTACAAATATAGAATGAGGAGCTATCTCTTCCATCTACCTAGGATACGAAAGATAATCGATGATTTGCAATTCCTCGACGTAACACGTTACACAAAGTTAAATTTTTTTTCAACGTTTTGCATTACGAGAAACACACGCTCGCCCACGTGTCTACGGTTATTAAGTAACATTGTATTTTTATTGTTAGGTTTTGGCAGTGTTGCTTCTATCTGTGATTCCATGGCCGGGCCCCAGTGTCTTTAAGATATCATGCCCCCGCGATCGAGCGTCTGTAGTGAGGAGGATAGTTCACAAGGTAAGAGAAACTGTTATCAATTAGAACTGTTGAAACTATCCAGCAAGTTGAGTGGCGCGCGAAGATATTTCTCGCAAAATGTTTGATGCGGAACATCGGTTTTATTTGAGAATAAGTGCGAAACGTTTTCAAAGGTAGTAACAACTTTCAGTAACAATTTAGCAAGTTGTCAAACCATAAGGACATAGGAATGAGATAATTTTAACCCTCGGCAAAATTTCAGAGATGGATGCCAATACTGAAGAAATATCAGGTAGAATTACCGTTGGAATGCCCGTTCCACGAGAGTCGGGATATTTTTCGGCCGCAACAAAAGGCGAAGCATCAGCACAGGCCGTCCCAATGGACCTGCGGCCTTTGCGGCAAGTCCTTCTACGCCGAGAAACATCTGGACGCCCACTTCGATAACAGACACAAAAGCAATGTTAATACGGTGAGGTTGGGAAATTAATTATCTGAAAAGAAGTCGATTATCAGGAAACATCGTACATAGATATTTTCAACTTCAGTATTTTCTTGACCATATCTGGCAGTTTTAATAATACAGAAAATTTATCGCGAAAAATATTACCTCAGCCAGGGTTTGAACCTGGACTTTCCTACACTCTAGCCGGGCGTCTCGCCAATTCGACCACTGAGGCTATTCGCAATAAATTGTTCGCAATAAATTTTCTGTATTATTAAAAATGCCGGACATGGTCAAGAAAATGCTAAAGTTGTCAATTATCGCTGGCGACTTGAAGAATATTCTTATTAGTAGATATTTTCGTCAAAGATTCCACTTCTTCCTAATTGTAACTGCACAGTCTTTATCTTAGCAAAGTTATTACCGATTCAAGAGTTATCTCACTAACGAGTCGAAGTACTTTATCAGTACAAGTATATTACAGGATCCACAGCTGGAAGATGTGAGCGTGTTAATTCCTTTTTTTTAGGCAGAAGACGCGGTATGCCTAGCGGACTACTGCGACATTATGCGCTGCGAGGTGCTGGGCAACCGCGACTTCGAGAACTCGGTGGACGACGACGGTGGTCACCTGAACACCGACATCCAGGTGTGGCGCGAAAATACCGAGCAGCAGAAGCAGCAGCAACAACGGCGCAGCACTTCTGTCGTGCCGTGCGGGTCGCGTGGTCTCGCCAGGATGTATCCCGCAGATAAGTCCTGCACTATCACCGGTGGTGGAGCGGTGACGAATCTGCAGCGTTACTGCCGTCGCGACGACCACCACGACGACGGTGACATGCACAATCACAGACTGGCGAGATCGTCCTATCACAACGAGATCGCCGAAACGGACAGTAGGAATATTGACTGCGAGGAGGAAGAGGAGGAGGAGGAGGAGGACGAGGAGGAGATGGAAGATGAGGAGAATCTGGTGGAAGCGGCGCTGCCCGCCGTCGACAAGAAACGGAGACGGCGGGGGCTGCATTTGAGGAAGCTAAAGTCCAACTGCAAGCCGGAAGAGCTGCAGAAGCTGAAGACCCAATGCGAAGTGAGTTGCTGCGAGTCGAAGTGAAGTTACCGCATGTTTTGTCTAATATCTCTTTGACGTGGCTTAAAAATATTTTCAACAAAGTACACGTTCTCTTATCAGAGGTACAATGACCCTGATAAAAGTACGCGGACTGTCTGTTGACCATTGTGTATCTTGAAGATTAAGTAATTCAGTTAAGATCGCGTAGACCGCGATTTTTTAACAGCGTGCAATCTTTGATCTCGTTTGAATATTGTACGAGGCAGGCACGCGCGCTTGCAGACACGCCCGTCTGCGAGCACCAATGATATATAATGTAATTGCGTTTATCACGATCGTCAACAGATACTCGTGCGTGATTGCATCGCCGGACTGCTCGCTAATCTCTCCTTACGGGATTTCCAAGAAATCGAAGGTACGCTATCGATTACGCATGTCGTAACTTAACTGTGACCGTTAACGTTTCCTTATCAATCGCGATTATCATCGACAGGGGAGCTAAATCGAGCGATCTGCTGGTATCTCAGCTGCGACAGATACTGGGAGGACACGAAAAGACCGCAGCGTCACACGCCCTGGTACCTGCTGACTGTCTTCATGCTGCTCCTATTTTCGTCGATTTACGCGTGTTACTACGTAATCTGGGTTTGCTTCAAGTACGTCATGCAATTTAAAACAATTCTTATAATTTCTTTTTTCGTCAAATGTTTATCGGCTAAATGACTTCTAAGAAGGAAAATTATCTCACGTTATTAAAACAACTTTGAAGTGAATATGTTTTTTAGAAAATTACAGGCAATCGAATAAAAAAATCATAAATAGTCAACGAGTGTGTATCGTACGACTTATATTATTCATCTATTCATCATAAACTTCTTTGAAGTAACCCTACAGTGTATGTGAAACGGCATCCTTTCATAATCCTCTCACAATCTGATCTTATAAGAAAACAAAGAATAGGCAAGCCAGGCGCAGGATCATCTCGTATCATAATTGAAAAGTATATGTTTTAACAGCTGTAAAAGAATATTTTTTAAATGTTAGAGATGTATTAATCGTGGAAAGATATTAATTTTCTTTTCGCAAAGCCTGAAATAGAGACAGTAAAAATAAAAGTAACTATTAATATTACTAAATTTATAATTAATAAGTTCATTTTATAATTAACCTAGCAATTATAAAATTAGTTAACTATCGGCAACATTATTACGCGTGTTTTGCATCGCTGATTACATTGCATTTCCAGGAGTCTTAGCAAAATAACATGATTTGTATAATTTCAAGATAATGTTTATAAAACATGCATCTAAGTATTGTTAGTAGTCGTAAAATTAAGATACGATAACACGTTATTGTACCCGAGATAAGCGTAAAACTTTGTCAAATTGAATGAAGCTTATTGTCGCCAGTGGTAATTAAACAAAGGGACAAGTTTTTAAAAAGTCGACCGGACTGGCAAAAAAGTGATCTTTAATTAAGTCACAATGTTTCGACCTCTTCGTCGGGACGACCTTTTCAAGTACAATCGGGAGACAAATTTCAAATGCTCAAACCGCAATACGAAAAAGGGAACTTTTAAAACGTCGTCCCTTTATAAAACAATGTCTTGAACTTACAAGTCAGCTATTCTACTAAGGCCCTAACGAAAAAAAAATTAAATCCCACATGTTTGCGTTGCGTGTAGCACCGCGGACGAAGATAGACTGGACGGTACCGGCAGCGTGGATTACAACGGAAGCACGGATCGCTCGAGTACTTCTCCGTTGCATGACCCGAATATTCATAACGAGGGCAGGCTGGACAGACGGAAGGGCGACCACGGGGACGAGAACCTGCCCTTATCGAGCGAGGACATGCCCGATCACTACATCTACGTCTCATACCCGCCCGAGCTGAAGCGGCGACTTCTCGAGAGGTATATCGGCACGCGCGCGAAAGTATTTATAATCGTCAAGTGTACTCTACGTCACAATTGTATACAGTGATCCTCCTGCTTACAGCTGCTACAACAGGACCACTCGTCTTTAAACCGACGGAGTCGAGCTAGGAAGGAAGTACTTACGCGACGAAATTAAAATCTTATCCGGGATCTGCACACGGGAAGGTACTCGAGGCTCAACTCCTCACTCTCATTTTTCTCGTTATTCTCGTGTTTTGTATACCGAATGTGAATAAATTGCATCGTGGACACGACAGCAACTGTTCGTTCCATTTCTCTGTACTTTTTTATCATGTAAGAACTTTGCGCTGCACTGTCATGTGACGTTTAAGAGGTGAAGCGCAGGGATATACGTGTTCAATATATACGATTACGATAATGATTGGACTTTCACCCTTAACAGCAACACATAAATTTGACTTTAATTTCCAATATTATTTAGCCGATTTTATGTACAGGAAGGGGCACATCGATTAGAACAACACGGGTGAGGATACGATTCGTCAGAGTATACGTCATGCTTTTTATTAAAATAGTACTTACTCGATAGAATAAGTTATTTCTTATTCATGTATATAGATACTTTTTCTTACAGTATATATCTCATCTCTTTTACAGATCAACAATAAATAAATAGAATATAATCGTTTAATTAAATTATTAAAAAATATATAATTTAATTGAAAGAAAATAGGAAACATTCCGCTTTATTTTGACTAGAATTGCATTTGGTTTAAAATGACCAGAGCTAGAACCAATAAGTCATCTTCATAGTACCGTCAGAATCGCGTTGAGTGTCCATCACGCTGGATTGCCGAACCAAACGGCGAACACTTGCCGCGCTCGGCCGTTGATGCTCTTCCAAAATGGATGAAGCAAGCATTACTTTGGGTACTTCCTGCATCTCTACTGTCTCACGCGTTGACAAGTCCTCGTAGGAAGTTGTGATCGATGATGGTCTAATACAAATTTTAAATTGGAAGTTTGTAATCACAGATGAAAGAGACACATCGAGAATATGTAGAACATGTCGTCAAAATGTGACATTTAAATCACCCATTTAATTTGTTACAATTTAATATATAATATCACGGATTGAGGAAGGTTCGAGTCCCAGGTTCGAATCCTGACTGAGGTAATATTTTTCGCAATAAGAATTTTAATTCAATTGGAGAAAGGGCAAATTTATAATGCTAAGTATAGCATTAAAATTAAATTAAAATAACGTACAAAAATCGCTCGGCGATTTTTAGAACACGTGAATTCACTGACGATAATGATCCCACCTAGGGGAAAAGTGTCCGATAGTAACGACGCGCAGTACAAGGTAGGAAAATATGTTTTGATATATGAAAATAACTTTCTAATGGTCTACGTGAGCGTGAAATATAAGTGACAATTAATTGTTACGTGCGTACTTTATTGGAACGCAACGGATGCAATCCGCGCACGTCCAATCTTTGCCAAATAACTCTCCTTCCTCCACTGTCTGTGGCAGACGGTGATGCAACGTTTCCGGTAATCGCAGTCCTGACAAGCCACCGATTACCGAGATCACGCCCAAGATGACTAAAGGCAACACAAGATTTTCTCTCCCCTGCAAATCATATTCGCAAACATTCGGTTATAAAAATACAACTTGCAATCCAAAATCAATGCATACGCTTTATCTTTGACATTCAAGACAATAAATTAAGTAATACGTATAATAGCTACGAAATTATTTTTCAAGTATTGCTTACGGATAATAAGAACAAATGGGCGAGCATTATTTGTTTTTTGAACAAAAGTCAAACATCAATTTCGACTCACGAGATACGTTACGAAGGGTATGATGATGAGTCCGAGGCCGCTGATGTATGCTGAGAAACCAATGGCAACTCCGCGTAATTGCGTGGGATAGAGTTCCCCGGCGAAAGGGTAAATAATTAGAAATGAGGCCGATATCGCAGACTTCGATATGAGAAATAGTACCAAGGTCTCCATGACAGCATCTTATACGGAAAGCACAAAAGAGAACAATTATGAAACTGACACGTCACAGCTTTCTCCCTTGGTAGTTCCATGCGATGTTAAACAGTAAACTCATTGCTCTCAGCGATATCGGCACGTTACACAATTAACTGATTATGTTGCCACTCTTGCTAATTAATCAAGTCATTAATTAATTGACCAGCAGTGCGTACCGGGCGATAACAGCACCGTTGCGATGCACGACACCCCGGCCACGACCATGCACAAGCAAAGCGGCCAACGGCGACCCCATCGATCCATTACAACCCAACAAGCGATGTAACTGGGGATCTCGGCGAGGGAAGAAAACAGAAAACTCAAATGTTCTTCGTTCCCCAGAGCCGGCCCGTAATAGGAAAGACCGACGTACACCATATTATTGGCGAACCTAATCGCAATAAAGCACAGATCAATTCATTTCCGTATGAGATTTGTACGAATTAGCTGAACGTATCATCTGAACGCGTACCGCGTTATCGAAACATCAAGGTATTTTATCCATTTAACTGTAGAAGCAAATTATCGCGTTCGATATGTAAAGTCCATTCAATGGACTTTAATCTGTTGTTTTCTTTTTCAATTAATTACAAAGATCAATGTTCGCAACGTAGACCCACGTGAGACATAAAGTATTGAAAAATCGCAAGAAGATCGTAAATAACCCAAAGATTTGGTCTCTTCCCTCCAAAAGTAATTATCTGAGATTGACTTAATGTGGCAAGCAGACTCTCAAAGAGAACCGCGTGCAAAGAGCGGGGACTATTGATACGCCCATTTATCATGCTTCCGGCGACTTGTCGGACGCGCTTGTGTACTTTGGCTTACCAGTTCAAAGTGATAAGGCACGTCTTGAGGCGCATATTTGGCGATTTGAAGAGCGAGAGCACACCGGGACCAGTTCGCAATCTCTCCTCCTCGCTCTTCGACCTCGACATCGTCATACGCTGGCGGAGCTTCTGCGTAAATGATGCCGGAAGTTCTTTGCCATTCACGCGGGCCAGGGTTATGAGAATATCATTAGCCTCGCTTAGGCGACCTTTTGCTAATAACCACCGCGGTGACTCCGGTAAGAACCTATAATAATCTCCTTTTTTTTCACATGGATACTTATATGTGCACGTGTATGCGTGCGATATAGAGGGAAATTAAGATTATATTAAAATAACGCAGTGTCATCGCAACGACGAGCACATTTGCGTTGACGATAAGCTTTTATAAACTCGTTTTTCTGTATTTGCTGCGTACTTTGACAATTCGATGATATTTCAGAGCGCTCGATTGATTATACACGGAGCAGATTTTCTCTCAAAATTTATCCTGAAAATCGTGTGATCGTGGAACAACTTTAAAATTATCTACTGTTTAATATTTACTAAATACTTAAATTAAAGAAATGCATGTTTTAATTTGTTTATTCTTTTTTAATTTAAGTTAATAAGCTATTAGGAGCCACCTAATGAATGATTTTCTTGAGTAAAGTAATATTTTTTTGGATATTTTTGTTATCAGCACAGGTACCCCGAGTCTAAGAACATTTACGAATGTAGACTTGAGGATTACTATTAATAAATGTAAATCAGATGTGAACAGATACTTCGAAAATAATTGTTCCATTCACAGGTGACGAAATTCGAAGAAAGATTCTGCAAGTATAATTCTCATGAATAGCAAATGCAATTGACATGGTAATTTATGTAATCTTTCATTACCTATATCTTCATTAGTTTTCAACGACAGCTGTCATTCAATTAACTCACCACCAGTAAAAGAAGTATATCAAAAAGGGCGCACTCGTGGTTATGACGAGCGCTCGCCAATCGCGTATCAAATAAGTGACACCTGCTAGCATGCAAAGACCCAACGTATAGAAGGTGCAAGTCATAACTGTCACGAACGAACGGTAATTTGGGCCGACCAGCTCCAAGGCTACGAAAATTAATTCACAATAAATCCAAAATTTAACTACAACTGCCAATAAACTGACATAAGATTAAGTATATATATTAATCTTTGATCACTGATTCTTTAATCGGAATTAATGAAATACAAATTTATTGCAAACTTTTAATGCTTACATATAATAAAAGGTATTTGGTAAATCGCTGGTATTGTCAAGCCAACGACAAAGCGCGTGAAGGCCCAAGTCCAGAAATTATTCGAGATTGCTGTCAGAAAGCCGCCGGTTATTAACGTCGCCAGACACGTAAAGAAGGATAACCTCCGACCGATTCTACCCAGCAAGATAAGTAAATTGCTATTTATTAACATGTAAAAGAAGATAATTCGCCGGTTCTACTTGACAAAGTCCAATAATACAACACAGTACGAGGTAAAGTGAAATACCAGATAGATAATCTGTAGTAAAAAACACAAATGTATTCAAACAAGTGGAAAAAGTATTTTGACAAATCTCTAATTCTTCGAGAAAAACAGAAGACACCCTTTGATTAATTAAAAAAACATTACGTTCAAATTAATCATTTAAAATCTAATACATTCAGATCTGTAAAGGTCGAAACTAAATTGTAATCAAAACTGAGCCGACCGTAGTCTAATTTACCTGTCATTTAATGTACCGAACAAATATACCCCTATAGGACCTCCTGCATTAAGAGCCACTAGACCAATCGTTGGATAGATCGCGCGATCGCACACGAGATCAAACTGTAACATCATTAGAATTTTTTTAAAATATAGCACAGCATCTGGTCGCGCGCCGAACGTTTTGTTTCTTTTATAAAAGAAAAAATTACATTTGTAAAACTTTCCTTAAATAAAATATCTCGCACGCATATTCGTAAAAGAAAAGCGAGTAAAATTGTGCACGAAAACTGAAATTTTGCGACCGGTGTTCACTTTTAAACGTTGATTGTACTAAAATGTACTAATTGATAAATTTTTGCAGGCTCGACACGGCAAACGTGACAAGCCGCACGATATTTCGGTAGAATTAGACGAACGTACATCGATGACAATAGACGACGTCGTCTCCGAGGTTTCGTATTCCCAGCCGTGGTCGCAGGGCACGACAGACCACGACGCGTTGGGCGCGGGCAAGTACGTTGCCACGACGGAATAGTTCTCCATCGTCGTCGTCGTCCAGTCGATATCATATCGCGTGCACTGGCTATACGTCTCGTTGTCATCCTGCTTTCACATGACATCTTTTAGCGCCAGATCATGCGACATCGCATGAATAATGCATTCGCTACGAGCTGTAAGACAGGATCGATCCTACCGAACTTCAGCCGACCGCGCCAGACAAAGGCAGTCGCTACCAGAGTCTACTTGTCCCAGAATTCTACTTGGGCTGCTACAAAATTGCATGTATACAACGATGCGTTTACTGGAATTGACTTTTCCAACTGCTTCTTACTCGGTCAAAGCCTAATTAGCTTGTTCTGGCCCCTAGCACAAGTTTCTAACTAAACAATTCAATTTGCAACCAAATTACGTACGGCGCAAGTAACCGAGTGAATTGCACGTGTAGTTACAGAGAAGAAAACAAGTCACGAGGCGAACGCAACGTTCAAGAAGAGGAATGCACCAACGGAATTATAATTGTCACATCTAGCGCTAAATGACAAGCTACGGCCGCGATAAGCTGCGGATGAAGGAGCGGAAGTGACGCAACGCATCAGCGTATGATCGACGAAAGCAGCAAGTCTACAGAATATCGACACGATACCGCGTTCTTTCACACCATCGGCCGCACCTGGCTCGCGGGAATGGCGAGGCGTTTTCTGCGAGCGACGTCCATGTTCTCCAAACCCGGCACCTTGCACCAATGCGACGGCGTGTCCGCCATGAACAATTGATTGAAGGCGCAAAAACCGCACGGCAGACACGCCGGCAAGCAGACCAGCCATAGCAGCTGCTTCTGATAGCGACCGAACTCGCCAACAACCGGCAAAAGATCGTCGAGATCGAAGTCGTCCTGCGAGGCATTTCGTGCAGAGCAGCGACCAAATGGCGCTCTTCTAACTACAGAAAATATCCTATCGCTACCATTTTTATTTTCGGCTACGAATTCTCTGAGCGATCTGAAGTTAATTGACAGTATTTTCAATTTATATTAGCATTATGAAAGAATTGAAGACTCGATATTAAAACTAAGAACTTCGGCGACAAAATTAATCGAGAAGTACTTGAGATCGGATCATCGTTTCTCCAGTAAAGCTTCATCTTCACATAAATCTTTCACTTTTTAAAAATTACATGAATCAATCATATCTCTCGAGATTTTCATTGCGACATAAACGCGTCAAGATTTCTCCGGCAATTTGTGATTTAAATTGCAACGAGGCAAATTAAAAAGTAATGAAACGTTGGTGTTTGCTGACACTTTTCGCCTTTATCTAGATTCATATTGGAGATTATAAAATTACTTTAAAGGACCGTCTACATTGGAAGTAAGCAGTAAGAAGTAAGAAAACCTAAACTTTACTTCACACTGTGTACACACTGCAATATTGCATATTGCAATGTAATATTACAGTGATATTACTAATATAATACATTGATATAATACATTGCAATATTACATTAATATTATAGTGAAATATTACAGTAATATTACGTGATACATCACAGTAATATTATTGTGATTATCACAGTAATATTACTACGATTATCTCGGTAATATTTCATTGGGCGGACATTTTAATATTTTATTGTAATATTACGTGCTATGTGGGTTATCAGTGTAAAAGCTAAAGTGCAGGCATAATTGTTAAAAATATTTATAGCACTGGTCGAACTGTGCTCTAATTCGCCGAGAGTAAGCGTCAGAGCTGAAGTAAGAGTGAGAAATGGAAATTGTTCATTTCTTTACTCCTACGCTTACTTCTTACGCAAGGTTTACTTCATCTATTGTAGACGATCCTTAAACCATAACGTCTCAAGTTTCGATCGTATGCCAACGAGATTGCGAAATGTACGTAGGCCAATAAGCTTGACGTAATCATTTCGATAATTAACGAGCGAAGAGCCAGTCAAGTTAACGTTATCTTCAATATCAAATTTCGCTCCCGTGAATTCGAGACGTATATCAAAATAAGAATCCAAGAGACTGTTATCCCCTTCGAGGAAGCAATCGGCAAAAGATAATACTTACGTCATCCTTGGCGACCCTGGTATTATCGGTCCGCGTCGAGCCGCTATCGTCCTGTCGCTCCATTTCGGTGAACTTCGACCTCGTCCCACGTTACCCGAAAGCCCCGATGATACCTTACAAAGGCGTCACGTGACGTGCATTAGCCTCCATCCGTGGGTGATTCGACCGATGCGAAGCGCGTTGCATCGTCCCTCGCCCGTCTCTCCCTCCGTAAAAAAAGCGCAAGAGTGACTTCTCTCTTTCTCGTCGACTCACAAAAGTGCACCATGCACCTCAACGATTTCAGCACCGACGGCGATTCGCCGCGCTGCGACTTCTATTAACAGGACACGGGCCCAAAATACAAGAACACCAGTGAGCTCGAGTATTCTTCAGTTACCGTGTTTAATATTTGATATCTTTCTTTGCGCAATTTTGAGAGATTTGCCGGAATATCTAAAACAGATTTGCAATTTCGTCCAGTGTTTCCACATTTAACATTCGAAAGATACGGGAAAGTACGTGGAGAGTTTTAATTTTTATTCAAGTTTGCGGTAAGAAAAGGAAAGATAAAATTAGTTCTCCACAATCCAGGACTCGCGACAGATCAGATGACGAATGATTTGCGAGAACTGTGAAACGTCGATCGTGCTTCGCTTGTATAACACGGTCGACGCACCAAATATTAAGTCACGTTCGTAAACCGCGGCACTTATGATTTCTCGTAAATAATAACACCGACGGCTTGATCAGCTGCACGCGTACGTTTGCACCATCCGAGAGAACGTATCGGAAATGCGACGGTACGGGCAGTTAATCTGCGACGCGGGGTGTGCCCTCTAATTCAATTAAAGGTACTTAGAAGAGATTAAGAATGACGCTGACACGCACATGCTGTTACGAACGCACGCTGCAGCGATCTGATCGCCTCTCCATCCCCGGATAGATGCGATTTTCGCATTCAAAATTCCAACGCGACACGAAGTTTTAATTCCGTTGTTCTCGCACGATTTAATTGGATTAATACTGGATTGTCTGGCGAGCGTGAGAGCATAAATAATCTGAGCCGACGATATATACTTACGGGGCACGCCGGAAATGGTGTTGAAATCGAGAAATAAAATTTTAATTCCTCCCAAACGCTGCTCCCGCGGACAAAAAGTGAAAAAAGACGCGACAGGTGTAACGAGAAAGGGCGGTGACACGTATTGGGTCTGTGCTCGATGTATTTGATGCATTTGAGCGACGACTGCATGGTAATAATGGCATCATCGTGTCCATATAGATTTGAAATGGAATTTATTTTCGGGCCATCAAGGTTTTTTTTTTCATGAGAGAAAAGGAAACCATGAAATAAAAGTAGGAAGCAATTCGCAATTTCTGCCGATTGAATCTCGTCTCTCGAGATCTCGCATTCCCGGACTACACGCGAGCGCTTCTCTCCCGCGTTTTCAAAGCTCGCTTCGTATCCGAAGAAAGGCAAATGAAGTTCGGTGAATAAACAGCAGTCGAAATGACTTGATATTATATGGCACTGTCGCTTGGCGATTCGTATAATCTTGTCTCTTGCACTCATCGGTACAGTCGGCCACATTAATGTCTTAAGTGATATGCAAATATCGAATTGTTCCTGCGCGCGGTGCAACGTGGACCGATGCAGCCCGGTGCATCGGGGACGTGCGCGAGCGCTGAGGAAACGGTCTTCGCGTTTCTTGGCGAAGAGTCACGGTATTTGCGCCGCGGTATTTCTTCATGTAACGTAATAGCCTCGTGTGTGCGAGGCCACATAATCGAGCGATCATTAATGTGACCAATTATACGTTAGACACACTTCTCTCCCGAAGAATCGTCCCCCAATCATTCCACGATCGCTCTGACACTCACATAAGCGATGTAGCCGAAGTCACATTGTCGTTGTCAATTATAAATCACCACAGGAAACACAATCCTCGCAAGCACCACACGACTGACTCGAACCGAATAGGAATAAAACGATAACGCGGCGCATTCAATTCTTGCACCGCGTGGACATGCCGCACCCTCTCCCACTTCAGGTTCCGATTAGCTCCTCGCGACCGTCAGGAGCAGAACTCGCGATCAAAGGAGCAAGCGAGAGAAAAAGGAACTGGTACTCTTGAAAAATCAGATCACAATTGCAGGATCGTCCACTCCTCTGATTGTTGGACACGTCGTTAAGTCAATGATTCGTCGAAAACAAAATGCTCGCTGCCACAGCTAATCATGGCTTGCTAAAGATAATTCGCCGCCAGAACTATAATTTCTAAACTACAGCAAAAACGACCCGCTGTCGCACCTACACAGGCACAGTAGCAAAATATTCTATCACAACTAAATATTAGCTGTCCGTATCTTACAACTGAAATTTAGCTACCACACGCAGTTGCCAGCTACGGCAGCTTACATTTTTTCCCGTCAACTGTTAAGAAACAGTGGATTTTGGTACTTTTATAGACGAAAGAGATCCCTCGAAAGCCGGCACGTATCCAACATTTAGGAGTAGACGATAATTTTGAACTGTCCTATGTATTATCAATTTGGAAACTGACTAGGCCAAATGACGTGTTCTCGATCTTAAATTTAAACCGCGTGAAAGTCTACAAACGTTATTATCTGCGTTCGATTGGCTCTCTAGAATTTCCGGATTTACTCGACGCTAAATGGAATTCCCGAGTAAATGCTCCGTACAGTCTGAGATATTGACGCGGGTCTTCGTCGAAACTTTAGCTCCGCATTCGTTTTATCAAGATATCCCGATCACGCGATCCAAGTATCTCTAATTACTATCCTATATACGTTGATTGCCATGCTGGGCCGTCGCGGGAATATCCGCGACAAAAATGCCCTCGCGTCGTTATACATAGCGTTTCAGCTAACGTGGCGGCCGGTCGATCGTAAGCTACACGCTACATCCGACGGCTTTTACCTTCACTCGTAAATTTCCCTCGAAATATACGAAACGAGATCTCTTCTGTAACATCGCATTTCTCGAAGACAGCGTTATTCCCTTTTCAAAACGACTCGCTCGTCGGAAACGACAGATGCCCGCGTAAGCGCGGACGAATTTGGTGCTATTCCCTTAGCTCGACACCGATCGCAGACGCAAAAGGGGGGGGGGGGGCATCGAGTTGAGCAAACGTTAACGATTACGTCCGATCTGGGTCACGCCGTTCGAAAATCGGCGATCGGATTGTCCCCTCGCATCGCGAGAGTAGGCCGTGATTTGTATTCTTTTTTTTTTCTTTTCTTTGCTCGTCGCCTTTGTCGGCGCACTTATCGCGGCACGGAGGAGCCTTATCCTACAGAGATCGGCGGATCGAGTGCCAGGAGATCGCTTGGAGGAGAGGGTGGAGCAACGACGACAGGCGGACGTCCACATCCAGAATCGTCCCCTTTTATTTTCATCTCTCGCTTCACCCACGCATATATAGGTCGCCCAGAAACACATTTTCTTCCCATCACGCGTCAATTATAATTAGCTCGATCCGATCGCTTTTACCCGATCGGCAGCAGCACTCGGCACTCTCTCGCGCATCGCACCAGACGTCTCATCCACGCACGTAGCTTTTTTGTTTTATTTTTTCTGTTTTTTTTCCCCCTGTTTTCTAAATTAGTTCGCCCACCTCGTCGCGGCGGTGACGTCACTCTCGGCATCCCGCCCCGGGGAAGCTTTGCGGATCGCAGGGAGTCTCGGCGAGGTGATTTTAACGAGACGATACCGGTGCATTTTCGCGGCGATTTTGCGAAAGCGAGGGAGATCCACCGAACGTACGTCCGAACCCGCCGACAGACCGCGATTTCCTTTATTGCTACTGCACTATTGGAATTTTCACTCGTCGTAATATGTAAGAATTGATTGCTATGGAACACGTGATTAATTGACGGAATGCAGTATCGATAATTCTCCCCGGAGGTGGCGTTCGCTTGCGATGTGACGTAAGGACTTCGATCGCGGTTTCTGCAATTTAAAGAGCGACTCGGTTCCCCAGATAGAACACTCTCTTTCGGCAACATCACCGTGAACAAGGGAAAACGAAAATAGCTCGCCTCTACTTCCCTGCGATGCACTCGCCGCCACCGCCGCGCGTTCTCAAGCATCGAACAACAGATCTACGCGTTGGGCTCGTGTTTCGCGACTCGATTGTTAAAAAATATTATCGAAAATATTGTCTCGTACGTACAAGGACACCGCAGGCGGAAGGCGAATCGCGAGGACGCTCGCGAGCCCGCGGGATCACCTGAAAACTTCGAAAAGCAGCAATGTTGCGAGCGCTTTTAACGCAAGGTAGTCGCTTTAACGATCCAAGTTTTAAAAATCCCGCCAGAGAGCGTACTCTGTAGACGTCTCTTTCAAATTAAAAGATACCAGATTGAATTCACGATTTTGAAGGCAGTCGCGAAGAGAGAAAGGTGAAAAGCACAGTCTACCTGGTATACTCAATCCTCCCCTCTCTCTCTTAGCATTCCCTTCTAAACACCCCATAAAAATTTCTGAACCCAAAAGTACACGAGCATATTAGTTACAGAGGTCGGTATTAATAATGGACATTTCCCCGGGAAATTTCCCCTCGATCCCGCAGGCCCCACAGGCGGCGCGATCCGGCCCGCCTCGCGATACAAAATTTATATTTACTTTTACATATTTGCTTGGCCTTTCTGTTTCTCCATGCATCGACGATCCGTTCTCACTTCTCGAACGTGACGCCGCGATTCACGACGAATCACGAGCCAACCACATTATCATCAACATCCTCATCATTATTATCATCCTCAACATCAACATCAACATCAACATCATCTGCAGCATCATTATTATCATCATCATCACCATCATCTTCTCTCTCCGATCCGCTCCATCAATCATCATCGACGCATCCCTGATAAACTTCCTTACTTACTTCACAGCGCACATCATCACTGATACAGCGTAATGCACACGATTTTTAAATATACTACGTAAAATACGCTCATATCACGTACGTTCGCTCTAGTAAGCATCGCACGCACTCTAGGAGTCTCGACGATGAAAAGGCTAAACAACTAATTAGTCGACAAGATAAATCGCTTTGTCGTGCTATTATAAGTCCCCCCCAGGCTGGCTTCGCACGCCGACGAGGGATCCCCGTCTCGTCACGCATCGAGGACCTTCCGCAAGGACGTGCTATGTCGGCTTCCTCGAGATCGTCGCGAAAAACGTCGTCACGGAAAAGTCTATTGTAAAGAACGCAGGGCTTCGCGCGTACATTTTCCGACGGTCTACGGTGGTCTTCTCACAGAGCAACGTCGGAGTCCGATAATTTGCTTTTTTTGTCACATTGAATTAACACCTCCCGTGTTAATCTCCTATCACTTTTAAGAAATCTTTGGCATACGAAGTTTTGGAACATATAGACTTCTCTCGTTTCACGGATCATCCGAAGCTCTGTTAAAAGGATTTCGAATGGTCCTGGTAAAAAAAAAACACCGGAGAGTTTGGTTAAGAAATGTCTAGTCTAAGGGAATAAAGGACCGATTGTTCGTGCGACGAGAACATCGGTACTCGTTGCGAAGCCAGCCTGACGAAGCACGGTACTCGAGAACAGAGATTCTCCTCTGGCCACGATCCCGACGTGTGCGTTTCAGGCTCGATCAGGTCGTCGAGGTAGAGGAGAAAGAGAAGAGCGTCGATCGTAGGATATGCTAGGATCAGGATCGTCCGCCAGAGTTTCGTCTCTGCGATCGGCGAAGGGATCGCGAAGGGTCGCGAGGACCGTGCTCCCGCTCGGGGCAAAGTGTCGACTCCTCGCACACGAGAGTCTCTCTTCACAAAAATCACAGTCACATATATATCTATTATTTTCCCCTTTTTTTGTATTTTTATACCTTTTGTCACTCCTGTATCTCGTCGCTTCGTCTCCTGCGCTCTCTCTCTCTCTCTCTCTCTCTCTCTCTCTCTCTCTCTCTCTCTTACATCGCAAATTTTTTATTCATCCGTTTGACTTCATGCTTCACTCTCGCATCCGACTTTCTCTCTTCTACCTTTTTCCCCTTTTTAGCAAATCCGGCGATGCAATTCGCAGCAGCATTTCGCGGAAGGAGCGAGATAATCTTTTTGAAAATGTACTAACAATTAATTACTACAAATAGATTAATCTTTTAAAATAGTAATCGAAACGGCAATAATCACGTTCTTAAACATTTCTAGTCTTCGATAACTCTTTGATCGGAGAAATAATCGACGGTTTTTTTTATTCCTGAATGTATAATAGAATTGAAAGGGAAGGATTTTCTATTTTATACAGTCTTTTTAAATTTAAGCAATTAATTTTTCATAAAAAAATATATACATGTCAATAGTAGTAGAAACATTAATTTAAATAGTATATAAATTAAGCTATTTATATCTCGAGATCATGTGACTTCTTTGTTAATGACAATAAGACTCTAGATATGTACATTGACGAGAATAATCAGTCAGTATTAATAATCCAGCTGACTCAGAATCATCGTTACGATTTCGTAGTTTAGCACCAAATTCATTTCAAGAGAACAATCGATTTCAGCACTAAAATCGGGACGCTGCGAATTACGGTTTACCGTCTTTCTCTCTCTCTCTCTCTCACACACACAGAGAAATTGCAAACTCTCGAATCGGAGGAATAGGCGAGTTATCTCAAGATACGGAAAGACGCGCACCGCTGTCCTCTCCGTTGTGGCACTCTCATTTTCATTCTTTCTTCTCTCTCTCTCTCTCTCTCTCTCTCTCTCTCTCTCTCTCTCTCTCTCTCTATGTACCTAATCTCTGCTAAATGGAATGTATAAAAGAAAAGAATATACTCGCGTCTCTTTACCGAATCCATCGCGATTATGGGACTCGCTACTGATCGCGATTGTTAACTAACCGCCGTCGATGATAATCGTGTTAAAATGGCAAATTATTGAGATAATTGCGGCAAAATTTCAATATTTGGGGCATCGCATTTCGAAGAATAATTAATTTTTGATAAACATAAAAAAGAATAAGAGAAAAATAAATTATTGAAACAGTTAACAAATTTGGTATATTAGAATAGCTTGATTGGTGTCACAAATTTCATATCATTTAAAAGTTTATTAATTAAAAGGGAAAAAAAGGAATATTACAAATGGTTTGGCAGATTTTTGAATGCTATTTAACAAACAGCATAATCGCCTTAAAATATGTATATACAGAACGGCTCGAATAAATATTGCCACAATCTGAAAATGTTCTCCTGTGTTTTCGCAAGAATTTGTAATTGATGAAAGGGCTCATCTTAGAAAAATAGTTTAGCCTTCTCTTAGAGAAATAGCCTCAATATATATATATATATATGTATATGTATATATATCTTCCATAATATTAGACTTTGATATTACTCGATAGATCTCAAGTCGGCGATTAAATGCTTCTTACTTGATTATATACAATTTGGCAATACTCTCGCAATCGAAAATAACATTAGCATTATCATTGCCACCGATACTGAATCTTACAGATCGTGGATAAAAAAATCAAATTGAGGTACACGCCTCTTAAACGAACAATAAAAACCAGAGATCATTTTGTCCTAGACTTTGTGCGAGTTAGGTATCTAAAAATTTTTCTCGCGTAAAAACCCAGGCTACGAAATACCGTGGCAACACTTATGCGGAACAACGTATTAATCAATGGTATCACGTGTCGCGTGCAAAATAATCCACAAATAAAAATAGTTTGAGCACGTTTCGGAAGTGCGTAGGTTCCGTTCGATGAACGATCGAAGGTGCACGTGTTTAGATTTTCGGAGACGCAAAGATAAGTGAGCGAGACACGGATCTACGCGACATTTTCACTGTTAATCGGTGCCGATGAAATTTCCCAAGTTACACGTCCCCGCGCCGATATTTGTCAAAACGCGTTTGGTAAATTCGAAAAACTAGAGATTTTCCTACGCTACCATCTCCCTCTCGCACTCCGAAAATCACAAGAATGTACAACGTGTGTATGAACGCGAAGTTGGTACAAAATACTCAAATGACGAAAGAAGGACCCGCTGGCGAAAGCATTTGGAATGCATGGCACTACCGCAGACACGTTTCTCGACGACGTGACGCAACTCCGTATTGCGTTATTAGTCGCTAAAAGCTCGCGGGCCACGATCGGGAAAGATCCGCGAGGAGACTTGGCGAACGAGCTCGCGATCGGCACGGCATTGACTATTATTCGTCATCAAGGACGCGGTATAAACGGAGGTAGAGACTACAGGATACCCGAGGCACCCCGGTCGAACGTGGAGGAGGAACTCGTCGTGGTCTCACCGCGAATTGGATCCCTCGGAGGAAAATCCACTGGTCTACCTCTCTCCAGGTTACAACTCCAGGTTGCGTCGATTATCCGTTGGACAGAACTCGACCGGATTTTAAGAACGCGATCACGGTACCTTCTCAGAGTCTTGGCGAACCACCGCGAGGAGACAGTCCCGTACGACGGGACGGTCGACGCGCGGCCAGGAAGACGATCTCACTCGGGACTCGGTCGTCGAGTGGGCCAGACGTCTGACAAACGGGAGGGAAGGAAGAAACGAGTGTTCAAAAAATGTCTGGACAAGCCGGGTGCAGCGTTGTTCCAAATGGCAGTGCGAGAAGCCTCTCGTCTGCGACGCCGCTACGCGAGTACCGTGATCGCGCCGAGATACGCTCCGGCCGGCTTACCAAAGAGGACTTAGATCGCTGGGAAGGGTCTCGTGGTGGGGTGTAAGGGGAGAGAATCTGAGGAAATTGGAGATTGTTGTTGAGCATTCGAGATCATTTGCTCCTGCGGACGATCAGGCCGGACGAGGACTTCGGTACAACTGAATCATTTGTGCCATCAAAATATTAAGTTTAATTATCCAATCAACAGCAACAGTCATTCACATACGGGGAAAAAGTAACATACGCATCATCTCAACGGATCACACAGATTCTTGCGCAACGTGATCGGATCAAGGGGGCATCAAGTTGCGTTCAGCAATCTTCGCGACCTTTCACACTCATTGTCAGTCTCTCTCTTTCTCTCTCTCTCTCGCTGCACATTCAAGCTTCCCGTTGCATAGGAAAGTAACACTATCTCTTACGCAATTCTAAACCCCGACCGCTAAAAACCGCGGATTCAAAGTTTGATACGCGTCGTTGAGAAGCTCGGTGCGAGCTTTACAACGAGTCAACGGCGAGTCATTGTAAATAAAAGACTCTCGTTTTCCTCTCTCTCTCTCTCTCTCACATTCGTATATTGTCATACACACATGCATACATACATTGAATACACCATACATTATACTACATCTTTCATTCGCTCGCTCTCTTTCGCACTTTCGTATCTCTAACATGCTATCACTTTATTTCAAAAATTCTCCCTGAGTCTCTCGCGTTCATTCTCCCTCACTCATATGAATGTATATGTTCTCCATCCACCTCGCATGATGTTCCTGTCACGCTCCCGCATATCTTCTTCCATTCATATCTCTCACAGCTCACGATAATCGTTCACCAAAGTCGTCCCTCTCTCACTCCCTTTCTCTCTTCTTAGGTTTAAATTTCTCAATCACGCGGATAAAAGCCGCAGGCTTGTTTATACCAGGCATACTTGCAACCAGAATCTCTCGCACTCTCTTCTCGGCAGACTTTTCACTTGGCCTTGATTCAGTCATCGGCAACATCCACTTGCACTTCTCATCAACCGTTGTCGACATCCGGCAGACAGGTATTTATTTATTTTTTTCTTTTTTGCCTCTCTGTCTCGCGCGTTCTCTTTCTCTCGCTCTCGCTCACTCACTTTCATTCTCGCTTTCTCGCTAAAAATCCCTTTCTCTCGGATCACATGGGCTGCGCTCGACACTTGATATCATTATATCGATAAAATACCGTCGCCAGATAGGGACACGTGCAGACTCATCACCTCATCTCGTCATCATCGCTTCGGAACTCACGCACATCCATCAACTCGCATCCGCACCATCCAATCTTGTTGTCTTTGTATTGTGTTTGATAGCTTTCTAGTCAAATGAAATTGTACGACAGTACAACCGTGGGGTGATCTGTAAACAACAAAAGCGAGCCAAATATCAGTCACCGTCGCTCATCGGTGCTCGTTCTTTTCGGAGAGGGAGAATTTCGGGCGTTTCAAATCGCGTACGCGGGGGAATCCGAGGGGCGCAGAAAACAACGCTACAACAGAAGGTAGTGCATTCCCTATCGGCACTGAAATGACTCTCCAACACTCCCACGTGCTCTCGCTTTCTCTCTCTCTCTTTCACTCTCACTCTCTCTCTCCCTCTTTCTCTATCATCCCCCTTCTCTCCTTCCTCTAACAATTCTATCCTAACTACACCCTATCCTCGCTATGAGAAGCTCGCCAGTTAAAGTTAGCAATGCCAAAAAATGTACGATGATAACCGAGTATGCGTGACAAAGACGGAGTGCGGAAAAGCGCGAGAAGAGGCGGCAACGGAAAGGAAACCAAGATAAATCTCGTCCCTCTAACGGGGATGCGAATGGAGGTACGAAATGAAAATAAAGGTGCGGCAGTTAGTGCATATCGCGCGTCGATCAAAGTGAGGTCAACTTGGAGAGCTCAATTGCGAATTAGTCAGGCACTTGTACGTGAGGTGAAAAGGTGTACTCACCAACTGGACGTAGCATTGGCAGCAGACTTGAGCTTCCGAATCTCTTTCGCGGCCCAGCTCGCCAGCTGTTTGGTTTTGTGAGTGCGCGACTTCTTGCCCTTGGACAGCAGATCGTTGAGGGTGTCGGTCTCCACCATGGGCAGCAGCTTGGTGCCGAACACCATAACGAGATCGCCCAGCAGACCCACCGCCGCCGACACGTTGCCCTCGGAATGTTCGCGGTCCTGCGCTATCGAGGTGATGAACTGTATGATGAACGGCACGTGCGGCTCGATGAGGGCGATGGCGACGTCCGGGCAGTTGTTGGCGTCGCCGCGGAGACCTTGAACGATGCCGGTGTAAGCCTCGAGCACGCCCTCGCGCAGCTCGTTGAGATAATCGATCATATCGTAGTCGCTCCTGTCCACATTAGCCTGCGACGCCTGCACCAACGTCTGCAACACGACCTCTAGGTACTTCTTGAACTCCGGCCCGATACTCATGGCGATGTCGCCGAAGGCCGAGAAGATTTCTGGTTTAACCGAACGATGAACGGCGTTATTGCTGAGGTTCTCAAGCAACAGAGTCATAATCTCGTCGCAATAGGGAAGCATTTTGCTCTTGAGCGCACGGCAGATGTCGCCAGTAAGACCGACCGCCGCGCAGCACACCTGGTACTCGGCGTAGTTCTTGAGGCCGAGGCAGAGGTAGGGCTTGAATGCCTCCATGTACTTGAGGAAGCCCTCGCCCAGCACCTCAACCAGGGTCGAGACAGCCATGAGCGCGTCCTCTTGCACGCCACCCGACTTGCACGAGTTGGAGCTGAACATGGAGAGCAGCGCGCTCATTATTACATCAGATATCTGCGGTGCGTCCTCCGGGGTGACCTTGCGCAAAACCGACTGCAGCGTTGCGCAGAGCAACGATTGCAAATCGTTGTACTGGGCGCGATCCGAGTGGCTTTGTATGTGAGATTCCATCTGCAATACCTGTTGCAGTCTGTCAAGTATAACCATAGTAGTCTTTTGCACGGTAACGTAACAGTCGCGCGGCGAGTTCTTCACCATCTCCATGAGAGCCTCGTAGGCGGCGGACCGCAAATTCGCCTGTGCTCCGTCCGGTCGATCTGTCGTCTCCAAGAGTCGTTGAATGATAAAATCAAAGAATTGTGACATGCAGTACGTCTCCGGCTGATTACCGTCCTCGCTCGCCTCGGCCGACTCGTAGCTCGCCTCTGCCAAACCTGTAAATGCCCAGCACACGTTGGCGGCGACACGCGGCTCCGCCTTCAAGCCGTTCACCAGCGACTCCAGCAGCGGCTTCAGATAAGTCTCGTTGATCGCGGCATCCGGTATCATCTCGCATATGCGGCCGAACGTCCACGCGGCGGTGTCGCGGACGACCACGCTGGTGTCGTACATGAGCTCGATTAAAGTGGTCATGGCCTGTTCCACCAACGGCTTCAACGTCGCCGGCTCTAGGCCGCCGAGAATCGAGCCGAACGCCATCAGAGCCGCGTCCCTGTACCTCCAGTCGGGACTCTTAATATTATCCTTGACGAAGGGAAGAACGAAAGGAACAATCGCCTCCTCGCAGCAGGAGGAGAGCAACATCAAGCAAACCCCGGCTGCCTTGGAGGGATTCCAGTCATCTTCGTCATCGAACTCTTCTTGCTTGGTTAACTTTTTCATCAACACCGGCACCAAGTACTGTAAGGCTCCCTTGGCGTAGTGCCGCGAGACTTTTAGCGGCAGACGACCACCTTCCGACGCCTCGCCTTCCTCCATCGACAAATCGACCTCCTCGTCGGACACGTTCGACCAGAATTCTATTCCCTGAAGCGCTACCTCATCAATGTCGGATTTCATAGCTTCTAACGTAATCTGCGAGAGAAATTCCCATTATTAATGTTTTAGTGCCTGATATTTTTTTGAAGGGACAACTAGATATAAGTAAATGAGACGACGGTCCAAGTGATTACTTACAGGAAACAGTGCTGGAGCCATGTACGGTTCCATGTATTGATAGTATAACGACATAATTTTCACGAGACACTGTAGAGCAGCCACTCTGATTTGAGTATTGGTGGATTGAGTGGCTTCACACACAACTTCCATTATGAAGTTCCGCTCCGACTGTATGAAAGGTGAAAGTGTCAAAAACATTAGCTGCTTGTCGCACAAGTCATATCGCGGTCGTTGTAGAAAAATGTTATTCGCGTGAATGGCGCAAGTACCGACCTCATTTTCGAAGTTTCCTTTGGTGAACTCCAAGGAATTGTACAGGGCGCTCGTGGCCGCTAGTCGAACGTGGTTTGACGTGCTGGAACCTTTCATACCGTGAATGATAGCGGTAAGAATCTCGTTTGATTGCGCGACCAGCACTTCGCTCTCGATCTCCTGGCAGATGTATCCGATGGTCTCTAGAGTAGCCTCCTTCATCATCTCGGTACTGGACGGGTTGACAACATTATTAACTAACAATGGAATCAATTCGCCCCACTGCCCCACTGACAACTCGGCGACAGCGACGTAGGCGACGCACTGTGCCGCGGAACTTGGCCTGTTGTTTTCCGTTCCCAGCGCTCCTAAAATCTGCAAGAATAAACGTACGATAGACTCGGTCCAGCGCGAAGAGGGACAATTGCCGAATGTACTTGGCACTTGTCCCTGAAAATGACAATTTTTATAACTGCAAATATTCGAAACTCCCACTTGGAACTTCACTCCTCGAGAGAAAGAGAGAGGGGGAGCTAAGCTGTTACAAAAGCTAGAAAGATATTTTCAAGAGATAAGATACGTGAAGATAAAATCGAAAGTGGCAATGAAAATAAGAGCGATAAAGTAAAAGTACTCCTGCCTCGTGTCCCCAGGAGTAAAATAACATTTTCCACCGTCCGTCTCAACGCGTTTACGGCATCCAAAGTAACACGCGAGCTCGTAATCGATTCAAAATAAAACGTTGAACAATTGTCGTCAAAATAATTATCACGTCGGCCACAACGTGAAGAGACATTTCATGAATTACTCGATTAATACGCTTGAAGGTGAGGAAGGTAGCGTCGACAGACGCAACAGACCTCGCCAAGAGGATACCGAAAAAAGTGTGTTTAGCTGGAGGTACGACAACAGAAGAAGGAATGTCTCGTCCCGGCGCAAAGTCAGACAGACTGGCGTGCGCGAGGAAACGCGACGGACGTCGCTCGCTCCTTACATTTTTCTTGATGTACTCCCGCGTCTCGACGGAAATGGTAAGCCAGCGCTGCTGGTACTGAAACTTCATGTCGGGGTCCTTGGAGGTAAGTTGGTTCTTGAGCTGTAGACCCGCTGCCATGCGGGCGACGGAGCTCGCGCCGACTGTGACCAGCACGGCGCTGAGTCGTTGCACGAATTCATGCTGAAACAGACGCGGGTGCGAGCGTTACAAACGACTGCTCCTTTCGACTTGGACGTCGCGGATCCACCGCGGCGACGAGGATTTTTACTCACGAGATTGGTCTCGGCCGCCTGCTGCAGGAAAGTCTGCGCTGCCACGAGCTCATTCTTGTCTGAAAATGCAACGAGGGGGAGGGGGAATTAGAATCCGCGCGCCGCAATTAATCGGAGAGCCGTAAGGTTAGACGGGCGCGGGGCGCCCCGCGGAGACGCGTGTCGCGCCGAGTGCGTGCGAATGCGAGCAACCGTCGCACGCGTCGGACAATACTTTTCCGGCGGCGAACAAAGCGCCTAGCAACAGTACGACGGGGCGCGATATCGCGCGTAACAGCGCGCGAAATGGCCCCAGCGGACGCACCGCCGCGGGAGACTCGCGGCCGGAGGTCGGCTCGGAGCGGCGCGCCGCCGCTCCGAGCCGGGCACGTTTCTCCGCGACGTGGGCCCGCTGGAACCGATAACGGCGCGACGCGCGCGCTCGCTCCGGATCGCGATCGCCATCGCCGCCGCCGCCGCCGCCGCGGCGGCGGCCGTCGCGGCGGCCGTCGTGGCGAGCGTCCTCGCGTCTCCGATCGACGGGAAGACGCCCGGATGGACGAGAGCCGGTCTTTGTGACGTCGCGACGACACGGCGCGGAGCGGCGCGCCGCGCCGCGCCGCGGCCGCCGACACTCACCCGCCGAGACGGTCCTCTCGAGGACTTGGATCAGCTGCAACGTCGTCGGGTCCATCTGCATGGCTGACGGCGGTTCGCTCTCGTTTACGTTGCGTGATACGTCCACAGCTCCCGCGACTCGACCGCGAGGAAACGACAACGCCTGCTCCCTGGTGCGCGAATGTTCTCGTCACGACCGGCGGATATCCACATGTAGTCACCACCGACTCAACTGCCTTCGACGTTGCCCCCACTCTGCCGTCCACTTCCTGCTGGCGGCGGCGGCCGCCGATCTCGTCCGTCTCTCTCGCGCCCAGGGAGCCCGCCGGCCGACCCGTCGCCCCCTCTCGCTCGCTCGCCCGCTCCGCGGTCCCTTCCGCACGCAACATGCCGCGCAGTGATACCGGCGGGCCTTTGATATTCTCGCGCCCGCCGCGGATGAACCGCGAGTGCGCCGACCCGGGCGCCGGCCCGACGCCGACGAGCGGCGCGGAATCGCCGCGAGGATCGTCCGGAACGATCGGCACCCGCGGTTTCGGCCCGTCGCCGCCGTCGTTTCGCCTTTTCGCGAGCGGGGACTACTTTCTCGTCGCGTGCCACGCGCCGGACGCCACCGCGCACGCGCCGGCCGATGCGCGCGCGCCACCTGGCACCGCCACGGGCAATCGCATTGGTTGCGCGCCGCGGATCGCGTCCATTGCGCAAGATTGACCGTTGGTGGGTTTTTCGACGTTCCGCAGCGTTTGAAATAAGTGCGTCCGTCGCTTCTCCTGAGGTACGTCGCTTTATTCACGAACGTCTGCTTTGAGATCCGTAAAGTATCGCCTCGTACGTACGGAAACGTTGCGGCGACTCGTCGAGCAAGTCCCGCTAAAGTTGCGCCCCGGTAACCATTCATGCGCGCGAATTTGCTTGTGCATACGCAGACTCGTACGAGATTCGCCCGGTCTGTGCGTTTGCACGCAAGTGGCTAGCTCGTGTATTAGCGTGTAATTTGGCGCGCAAATGTCCAACAAAGCGTACAAAACTGGCCTCAACAACGCAAGCAAAATCCCGCCCAAGTGCGTCGTCATACCCAGTCAGAAATTACTCGATCGACGTCAATATGGCGGTCGACGCGACATCGTTTCGACGTCGATCGACGAGTTATTTCTGGCTGGGTACCCAGTGAGAAATGATTCGTCGAATCGACACCGACACCGTCGAATTGACGTCGACTCGACATCGTTTCGACGTCGATCGACGAATCATTTTTCACTGGGTAGTGCTACATGTTTGCACGCAAAATGTTTTCCGAGTAGAGACACTGGACAGACTCGTCATTAGTACGTGACGTAAATCTGTCTCGAAACGCTTCGAAAGAGGAAAATTGTCGAGTCATTTTCTCGCCTCTTGCATCTACTGTGAAATCCCCCCACCCCTCCATAGTCTATATTGCAAAAAGTGACGCGATAACTTTGTCTCTCGATGAAATTTTTTTATCCACTACACTACAGTCCGCGGGTAACAGAGTCGTGTGAAAAATACGTTTGATCAATGTTAAACGTTAAAATTTAACGCGTTTCTTAAACCATTTAATACCATTTAAATTCTAAAGAATAAAATGGTCTTAAACCATTTAAAACCATTTAAATTCTAAAGAATAAAATTCGTAAGGCTCTAACGTAAAATCACAATTGGGAGGAATAAAGGATATATACATATATGTTACATATATTTCAACGTTACATATATTTATAAATCATGAACGGCTAAATGTTTTTTAAACATTTATCAAACGTAAATTATCTGCTCGAGCAGCCCATTGCGAAAAGTAATGCGACAATTTGTCTCTCGCCAAAACTTGTTTGTACGTTCTGAAAAAAATTGCCAAAAATATTGCGAAAGATCGCAGGACTGAAATATTGCGTGCACGTTGCACAATACTGCCGCAACGTTACGGAGTTACCGCAACGTTAGAAAGTATGCCGAAAGAATTCCAATCATCCCAGCAACGTTCGAGCGCGATACTTGATGCTATTACACGCGTATTTTATTATCAGCAAACGTTGAACTGATAAATTGTTCAACAGAGTTTTAATCTCTCTAGGGTTTCACGGACTGCGATGTGTCCTGTACGGAGCGCAAATCTTACGGCGCACCGTTGCCCGATGCGGTTCATCCAGAAAGGTATGCGACTATCTTGTACAAGTTGTACGTATATCTACACTGCCTTATATCCGTCATTTCCGCGATGAAACTCGATCGAAACTTGGCTCAACTTGGCTCTCTATCGGAGGGAATATGCTAATCTCGTAGTGCTAATTTTACAACAGCGCGCGGAGAGGGTTTTTCTTTTAAAGTTTATCCTGAAAATTATGCAATCGTGGGACAGCGCGGCATTTCCACGAAATTGCCACACGGGGAGAATTTTTTCTTACAATTTATCCTGAAAATCGTGCAGTTGTATGCAACATAGCATTTTGAAGAACTTTAGGAATTTTTGGGAAATTTCACCGTACATTTTACTAGTAAACTGTACGTAGGTTTCGAACAGTTAAGGGTGAAACTCTCGGGCGCGATCGCAGGATTGTCATAAACGAGCAAGGAAAGAGGAGGGAGGGGGATGCCGAAGGGGGTGAAAAAGAAAACTAGTTGGCTCATCGTTTTAGTAGATTTAATGAAACGATATACAGAATACATTTGCTTTCGTAATGCATCGCAACGCATTCTCGCGTGCCTTACCATCTATATCACATGTCAATTTTTTTTTTATTTATAAAATATAATCGTCATAATTTCTTTGTTCTCGCGTCTTGCCTTTGAACTGCCTCTTCGTCGTATATATCGAAAGTATATATATACACATATATATATTTATGTATTTTTATGCATACACATATATATGTATATTTATTTATACATAATATATTTATTTATTTATATATCTGTATTTATATATATATATCTATTTATATATTTATATTTATATATTTATATGTATGTATATTATTCCAAGCGAGAGAGGGAACTGTGTTGTGGCTCGGCACAGAATTAACAACGAATCAGGCCGGAGAAAAGGTTCCATGAATGTGCGCGCGCGCCTGTGTATGTGTGCGTGTCAATATTTGCGTACGATATTACACGGTGACATATTCAGTGATATTACGCTACGCATCGCCCTTACGATCGACGGTCGTGCGGATGAAAAGATCGGCGATCAGCCCCCGAGAGTGTTCGCCTCCCCGCGATTTCTTTATTGTCAGCCGTTGCAGTTACATCTGCTTCGCACTTTCTCTCTTTTTCTCTCTCTCTCTTTTATCTCTCAGGCTCATCGACAGCGAAATCGCATTCTCGCGATGCAATTAATTTCCACTTGTCAAGACGCACGGCCGTCGATACGTCGTTTCCTTTAACCTCCCCCTCCCCCCCCCCGTTTCTCCTCTCGCGATTATTATATTCGATCGTGTGCATCACGTAATACTCAGCGTATAAGAAAGAAAAGGAGGAGAAGAAATAGATCGAAAGATCTGGTGCTTTTAGTTTGAATCAACCTGCGACACTTACGCGGACCCTTGTTGGCTGCTGTTCGCATTGTCTCTCTGTTCGTGTGTGGACACATGTCCGTGTTAATTTACTAGATTTATTTTCGGTACAACGCTCATCTTCCGGTCATATGTATATGTTAAGCGCGTATAGTACATCGTCGTACATTTATAAACGCGATTCTTTTCTAGCTGAGCGTGCGGACGTTCGTACGACAGAGCGAGGCGGTGAAAATTACTTTCACAATTAAAGAGGATGTAATTAATATCGCGTTCAAGTGGATCTTGCTTATCGAGAGCTTCGCCGAGTTCTATAGACAAATTTTGCAAATTGTAAGCTACTTACTGCCACAAAATTACAAGCAAACTAGTTATGCTCACGTTTCGATCGGTCGATGATCAACGTTAACGTCATTTTTATTTCGGCGACGAAAAAATTCCGCGACGACAATCGCGAAAATTACACGAGGAAAATGAATGCTGCTTCAAATGACAGAGAAAGTTTAATAACTTGCACGAAGGAAGCTTGGCAGCTTACACGAAGAAAGAGCGTCAGAGAGAGAGAGAGAGAGAGAGAAAGAGAGAGACTAATATCGAATTCAGTCGGGAAGTGTAGGAGAAATTAGAAATTTACATAATGCACACACACACATTGGAGTGTTTCGTAACGTCGTGATGATTACCTTGCCATCATTTTGAACTCTCGGAGAACCGACAACTTCCGCACAAGTTCTCACGGCGGAACACCCTGCGTACGCAAACGTCCGCCGCTTAGCGAATCGGCGATATAGATAATATCTTCGAATAAACTCAGTTACAGATGTCAATCGAGAAAATAATTTATTAACAAAAATTTCGAAGAGATATATTAAATAATCTGTTGATCGAACATTTATTGCATACATCGATGAAACGGGGAAAAAGGGATAGATTTACACCTAACGGAATTGACTGTTATTTCGTTACAGTAATGACAGATAATCGATTTAAACAACAATGTCGGGACGATCTCGTTCGTTTCGTCGCGAGGACGATCTTACTGCCCGAAACGATCCGATTTTGCCTTCCCATCCCTGCTCGTACTCTTTCTCGGCGTTTTTGCCCCTTTCTCGTCTCCTCTCTTTGTGACAATTTCTCGTAAAAAATAATTGGCCGCAGCGCTGGGTCCAGGGACGATTTTCCGCGATCAGGAGCGGAAGACATCAGCCTCGCGCGGGCTCTCGTTAAGAAAAAGATATATATAGGAACAAAAGTACGTCGCCCCCGAAACCCCATTCTTCCGTGTATAACGGAGGCCGTAACTCGTAAAACTCGGGGTTTCCTTCGTTCTAGTCGAGCCCTTTGCACAATCCCGATCTCGAGAGACCGATTTCTCTACGACCGATAACCCCTCTCCCGAAATCTCCTCTGGACTCAACACTTTATTTTGCACGGGCGAGAAGGTCGATTTCTATGCTCGAAGATTTCTACATGTTCCATCTAAAGATGAGGGGCTGATATGAGGAGAAGATAAGGCGAATATCAGGCGAAGAGCGCTCGTCCTCGAGGTTCCCAATTGCGCCAAAGCATTTCTTACAAATGTAAAAAATGATTCCCGTTTCAATTGTATTGCCGCAGATCGATGCCAATGTGTTACCTGCTCTTAATTATCGTTAATACAAAATTATCTTTCCTTCTTCCCTCTAGTTATTTTTATCTTCTGAGATTTTTCCCCTCTCAATTCGCCCGCGACTAGCTCATTATTAAATACTTATCCTCGCAACGGACGGAAGAAAACATTTATATTTATCGTGACATTACCTCGTAAATATTTCAACGATTAACATTGTTTCTATATGCCTAGAAATATTTGTTACGCACTCGCCCTCTCTAAAGAGGCTTCTTCACTTTCTCACAAAGTGTTCGCTTTTAGAAATTCTAGAAAGGCAAGATTTTGTATCTCTAAAGTCCTCCAATCGATAGTTCACAGACACCTTATTTCTCTCCTTACAAAATATCCTGACAGATCATTGGCATCAGTCTGGTAAAAACGTGCTTATCTTATTGCTATCGATTTCGTGACGCGAATTAGTTTCCTCCAGCGGGAACGAGCTCTTCCGAAATTTGTGTCCTTCGAACAGGAGCAGAATCGACGCTCTCGCATGCGTTATCTTAATGTCGATCGCAAGGGTCGCTCAAGCCTTTATACCCTCGGATCCTGTTTACCTTGCATTCTTACCGGGCATTTTGTCTTTTGAACACTTGCGCGCGTATCCATCCGCAAACGTGGACGTATAACGAACCGTATTAAGGAATCATTTCGTACACGGAGAAACGTTTTTACAAACATTGGACAATTTTTTCAGGGGAGGGGAAGAACTTGATATGTCGTTCAACGCGTGTTTCGTATTTTTCGTGTCGATGCCGGATTTTACGTCCGCTGGAAACGGAATTGACTCGTTCCTTTGTCAAAAGGAGTAATTAGAGTATTAAGATCGATTATTTAAAACGCCATAGCTAATGATCAACAAACGCGTGACACGTATACATGCGATGTAAGAATTATTGCGCCTATAACGGCCAGTGTAGCAACGGTGTCCATCGCGTTCGCCATGTGTGATAAATATATTATTGTTGTATTATAAGATACACCGAATATTGTCCACCGATACATTACCGCGAATGTATTACTGCGAACCGGCAAACATTGAACATTTTTACTTAAAAGCCGGACCCTCGGTTTTCCGTCACAGTTTTCGTGGCAAACCTTGGATATTTTTACTGGACACCGTTCCTTTATAATATTTATTAACAAGTACCACAATTACTGATTAATCCTTTACGGCCAAAATTATTTTGTGGATTTGCGCTCGGCAATTAAATGGCAATTATCGGTCATAGCTAATACTATCACGCTATTATCGCTGATCGCTGATTTCTCAAGGTGTACACAATTTACATGTAAAAAATCATTTTCATCCCGATTAATTTCTGGACCAATCTGGACTTTATCTCGGCGCGCACGGCGACGCCTATACTTTTCAGACCGCAAAGCATTAAATTTGTTAGCAAGAAGAATTGAGAAAAAATTTCCGAGGTATCGCAGGAGCCTACGGAATCGGAACAGTCGAATGAAAATGAGGCGGATCCGTTTCCAGCGACAGAAATCGAACGCGAGCATTTGATTTTACCTCTTGTTATTAGTTTTCTTCCGTGCACTGTATAGTGTATCGCTAATTGAGAACGTCACGCGAATCGACATCGCCAAACAGAAGACATTAATACAATCGTAGAGAGCTGATAAAAGACGAATTCGATCCGGGTATTAATTCCGCCACGTCTGCGAAGCGTCGAACATTTGCGGATACACACGACTTTAGATTAACATATACACATGTAATTATCATATCTATTGTGCACGTACAGGTAATTAACGTGCTCTTCATTCGCGTGTGTCTATGTGTGTACGTGTACGTGTGTGTACGTGTGTCTGTGTGGACCGCGGTGTAAGGACAATGCCTGATCTGTCGTGTTACGAAGCTTGGATCGCGTTGCGATAGCGACGGTGGTTGTCGTAAGATTACACAGGCAAAGGTAACTGCGCCCGAACAAAAATAGATCTCAGGATTATCTAAGCATAAGAAGATAATTAACTTGTGTAAGGCAACCATGGAGGCTGAAGCCTGCTATTACTCTCGTGGACGTTATCTCTCTCCCGGTGTAAATAAAATGAAGCTATAATTACAAAGGAAACCTTAAGCGCTGCAAAACTGATGCCAGAAAAAAAGAAGAAATTGACAGCATTGATAATAATAAAAGAATAAAAATAGTAAGAATTCTAATAGATATATACAGCGATACTTCTAATTTAAGCTAAGAGGCGAAATCGAATAAAGAGAGAACGAGAGAGAGGAGTACTTGGAAATTTTTATATTTAAATATATTCAACATCAGGTGTGAAAAATAATCGTGAAATCCCTTTTCGCTCCAGTGCGAAGTTATTCCCGATATGCAATCTTACTTTATCTTACGGTACTTGAACGTGGATAAAATATCAAGATACACATCGAAAACAGAGATGCATGTCGACTGCGGTAATCCTGGCGGCGAGGACGCCCGGTTTAAGAGCCCCGTTCAGCAACCTCCGCCGTCTATCGCGTCGCACGTAGGACACTGGTGCGACGAGGGGCATTTTTTTTTTCTTTAATGACGACGACGGCAACGACGGCGAAGCTTACCGTAGCGAGGCAATGGTAACACAAGGTGGTAGTAAAGGTAGCGCTGGTAACAGTGGTAGTAGTGGTAGTAACGTCATATAGTAGTAACGCCTATCAATGAGTAGTAGTAAGTATAACGGTATAGTAAAGTAGTAGTTGTAGTAGTTAAGTAGTAGTAGCGGCGCGTTATACGTATATAAATAGGACACTCTACGTTAGTTTGATTAAAAAAGTAAATGTCATAAAACGTAATAGGTAACTTTAAGCCGGGCCCGTCTCGCCGCCCTCGCTGATCGACGGCTCGACCGGTCTCGTCTTCACCCCCCCCCCCCCAAAAAAACGAGACGGACCCGCGTTCGCCTTAGCTCTCTAAAATCACATAAACGCAAGAGTAGTGGTAAAGGGCCGACCGATTATCGACCATGCGCCTCGGACGGCGCTCGACAACGGCGATCGACGATGCCGAGCTCGTGTGCGAGTTGCGTTACGTGAGAGGAGGAAAATGAACTCTCTACCACGAACCGCGGGACGCATGGGATCTGCGGTGGTCCCATGGTGAAAATGTCAAGACTGCGTTGCGAGGCTGCGAACTGAAATCCCTTTGCATGCGCTGGTCCGTTCTCGACGTCGGAATATACAAATTGGAATAAAGAAATGCGCCAACTCTTTCCACTTGGCGATCTCCGATTGATCGCTTTTGACGCGAGGCTATTTGAAGTTACTCTCGCGAAAATGTCTGGCGAACACTTGCGATTTGAGATAACTCTGATATCTGGAATATTTAAATTTTCAATAATACTGTTAATTAAAAGCTGACACGTATCTAAAACGTAGAAAGTATAAAAATGTATCTGGTCAAATAATTTTCATCTTTCCTACAATTTATCATAAACTCATAAAATAATAGCTCCACTCCTAAACTCACTTTCCATTAACACAGATACCCGAGGGACGCGTAAACCCGTTACAGCGTTTATAAATGCACGTCAACTTACAGCTTTCGCTTGTACCTCAATTTCCACCAGCGAGCCCCTCGTTCGTTATTCTTCGCATTGCATTCAGTCCATTGCATATTTACCTCGAGAACGCAAAGCGCACGTCATCGAGACACAGATATGTCCACGATATGTAAAATGACAAAGAACAAATAAAGGACACATACTTAACTTGACGTAACATAAAGCCACATCGATTCTTGTCGTGCGTTCGAGCAAGCAATCGATGCGTCTGCACCCGGCATCGTTCGGTCATCGAGAGCGCGACCGAGAGTCATATCCTACGTCTACCGTCAAGACGGGAACGGGCGTCGTCCGCCCTGCCCGCCATTGCTCTGATATGTTGCGAATCGCCGACGCGTTTCCCCCGCGACGAAGGGCAAGGATATTGCCGATAAGTTATTACACGTGTCCGAGCAGGTGGCGAGTCCGCGCGCCGTGGGTCCTGGGAGCGACGAAGCGAGCCGAGCGCGAGCACGGAGAGCCTCGTACAAACTAGGTAGAAAAGTGAGAAAAATTCGCGCGGAGTGCCTTCTTGCGAGAAAAAGAGAGAAGGAGGGGTCCTCTCCTGTCCACACCCAGATCCGCGCGGAATCTACTACAGCTAGAAGGGAGAATAGCGAAATCGCCGCGGCCCGCCTCGCGCCCGCTTTACTCTTTTCCGCCCCGTGTCTGTCATCCGCTCTCCAGCAGCGGCAGCAGCAACAGCAGCAGCAGCAGCAGCGGCAGCAGCGCACCAACAACGGCGACCATAGTGCATTTACCCACTAATAGTACAAGCGGCGATGTGCGACACCCGCCACCCGACACGTCGCGCATGCAGAGACCTACGTCAAGACATTCTGTACACTTACGTTCGCACACGACGCACGCACCCGCTCGCATTCACGTATATGCACATTCATTCGCTCGTACATACATACGTACAACAAACTTTCCCTTAAGTTTAGCGTTCGCGTTCTCGCGCGGACAGTTCCCGTCCGCGCTCGCTCGTACGACCAGTAACGGCACTCCTCGCTCTCCCCGCTCGACGGAGCCCTTCCGGAACGTCCCTCTGCTGTAAACGCGAGAGGGACGTCGTCGGGACGCCGAGGGACCGAACGTACCCGCGGGATCGCGCGAGGTTACACGTAAGAAGAGAGTAAAGCTACGTGTAATACGAACTAAGAAGGATGCAATTAGAACGAAGATAACGCAACCGCATGGGTCTGAGAGAGTAATTGTTCTATGTGCTGGCGAGACCGCTCGGTTTAGAAGGGCAGGCTGCCGACGAACATGGTCTCGATCAGGGGTGGCGCCGGCACCAGGTCCTCCAGCTTGAGGTAGAAGATCCGCTGGAGGCCCTGGACCGAGAGACTCCTCAGCTCCGGTATCTTCCCCAGTAGGTACGACAGGTACTGCGACTTCCTCTGCGCCTCGGCGTTGTAGGTCACGTGGTCGCGCAAGGACGAGACGATCTTCATCTGCAGCTGTTCCATGCGCTGCGGCTCCTTCAATCCGAACCTCTCTGCAAGTATGAGAATCGGTTCGAGTGAGATCGCCGCTTTCTCGAGAAACGTAAGACGATCGAAATCCACGAATTGCCACCAAATTCCACCGAGCAATAATAGCGTTCCGAAAATAATATCGGAAGCTTTATCGCTTAAAACTTGACGCTGCTTTCGGCAGTCGCGAAAATATGGATACTCGAAATAGCATCTTACATTTTCAGAAATTTCGATATCGACGATGCACCGCGGTTCGAAATTTAATTACTACAGCACCAACATTCAGGATTAAGAAACGTTGATGAATCAATTAAACTCCAATAATATCAGCCACTCGACCTTCAACACGTAGCTATCCAAACACGGAAGCTCTGATTGGACGCGCTTGTAAACCGCACACCTGCATGTCTGGTTGCCAACGGATCGCGTGCCGAACGAGGAACATCGTCGTTCCTTTCGTCGGAACATCAATAATTAATCGAACCGATGGATTAATTATTTAGCGCGGCCGGTATAACCAGTGTACCAAGTAGAGCGAGCTGGATAAAGAAAGATCGAAGGCGCCGCTAAAGAAACGACCAGCAAAACCGCGGCGTGACAAAAGTGCGATTATAGAGTGATTAGAATTTATGGGGGCGGAGATCGCGACGGAGTGGCGATTCGTTTGATCGTGAAATCGGAGGAATTACAATCGAGTTACTGACCAGTGACCAGGGTGAGGGCGCACAGGCAGGCGAAGGCGCTGATATCGACCTCCAGGAAGTGGAGAGCTTTGCAGAAGTCGAGAATGCTGTGCAGCCAGTCGCCGAAGCTGCGCTGACATTGCTCCAGCGCGAGGACCACACCGTTGCAGAAGACCAGCTTCGTGTCGTCCGGGTTCGTGCGGTACGCCAGCCTCAGCACGAACAGCTCTAGGCTGGCCGATTGGAAGAGCAGTTCCTGAAATCGGATTACGCCGCGAAATTATTGATACGCCAATGAATTGTTCGTGAGACGCAAAGTACCGGGGCGATCGAAAGGTGTTCTAAAGATAAAATATTTTATTATTCCGCGATATTGAGCACCCTTCGCCTAATCAGTCCTCGATGCGCCGTTCGGAATGCACTTCTAACGGAAATTACGTAATCGTATAATTTCATTTAGGCGCGATGACAAATCTGACACGGCGAAATCACTCCTGCTTGTAGCGACATATTAACGAATTAACGTCTATCCGTTTCTACCGAGCGGTCTGCTAGTCAGCCAAGTAACCGACCGCGTCAAAAGCTCGTCAAGACTGACCTTTTAGAAAATGTATGAGCTATCGATTTCTATAACCGTTAGTTCCCAATAGATATCGTCCGAGAATTGATACCTGACCAGTGATATAATAAGAGCGTGTATCTGAGTTGGAAAAACTCAGATAAAAAACAAAAAAAAGCAACGATCAACTCTTGCGAGTTGAAATCTTAGGATCTCAGAGCTTTTATCTAGAAATTCTGTAATCGGAGCTTTCTTTTTGAGACATTGTCCCCTATATTTTCAAGTCGTCGTAGCCTAAATTTGATCTCATTCAGCTTCGCATCGTGATAAGTGATCGCTCACCTGATCTTCCCGCACCAGATCCGTGAATCCGGGGATTTTGTCGGCAAAGTTTCGGATAACATCGATCGAGGTTATCAATAGATTGTAGAATTGTTGGATCTTCTCGGCCTCGGTCATCGGAGGGTCGCCCGGCCTGGGTTGTCGGTACTGCGAGTAATCGAGGCTTGCCTTGTCCGGTGTTGTGTCCAGGTGGGCGCGAACCAGGGCGGTGATCAAAGAGACCGGCGGACTCGGTGGGGATTCTTGCGGTGACTTGGGCTTTGAAGGCAGCCTGCCTCGGCGGCCCTTCAAGGAATCTGTTCTGACAACCTGTTCCGGCAATTAAATAATAGAATCAGTCACAATTATGCGATTCCACGATCCCCTAATTATTTCGTCCGCGCCATAATACGTTAGCCGTTTTTTAAATAGCCTTTAACGCAGAATTTAATAATTGCGTAGCTTCGATTTCACTCGATATCAATTTTCATCGTTTGATTTTTAAATCTTTATTGTTACTTGCAAGTAATCTCGGCAAATTTCATTAGTTGACCACCAAGAGTCTACTTTTGTCATAGATATCTAGAATTTTTCAATATAATATCATATATAAAGTAACAAAATTACGAAAAAAAGATTTCAAAGTGTTTTCGTGTAACGCAGCAACGACGTTACTCACCTCCTTGACCATGCCAACCATCAGGCACTTCTGGAACCGGCAGAACTGGCAACGGTTTCGCCGGCGTTTGTCTACCGGGCAAGCCTTCTCGGCCAAGCACACGTATTTCGAGCCCTTCTGCACGGTCCTCTTGAAGAAGCCCTTGCAGCCCTCGCATGTGCGCACACCGTAGTGCTGGCAGGCCGCGGTGTCGCCGCACACGGCGCAGAGCTGGCTCGGGCTTGGGGGTGCGCGTTCGCCACTGGTACCGCTTCCGGGCGACGGCGAACTGACGGAACTCGCGGTACCGCCGCCGCAGCGCGGCTTCGGGGAATCCGTGCTCCCACTACTGTTAACACGACACAGGACGCGCATTGATCTATAACCCGTCGCTAGTCAGAACGGGGATTCTCCCAAAAACTGCCGCGTCTCGCGTCCTCGAAGCATACGTTGCTAATCGAACTCGCGTCGTTTATTCTCCAAGATTTACAGCAAAATTGAAAGACTCTTTCTCGCTTGCAGATTTAGAATTGCACGATTTGCTTCATTATTTCAGAGTTGTGAATTAAAAATTAAGTTGGAATTCGTTTCCGTGTACTAAATAGATTAGCCGTGTATTAAAATTTTGATTCAAACTGTGAATGAGCGAAATAACAAATTTAGAACAAGGATCATGCATATTGCAAATTTTACGTTTCTCTCGCATTACAACATCGTTAATTTAAACGAGAAGCAACGAGAAGCAACGAGAGTTGAAATTACTCGTAAAGGATCTTACCTTGCCGATTCTGATCTTTGAGTGGGCAGCGACGCCCTTCGTGGCCGAGTGGTGCCAATGACGACGCTGGTATCGACGTTGGGACAGAGATCGGTAGGAACTACGGGAGTGGCGATGGCTGATGGTGGCCCGTAAACCATGGGCATGGTAACAGCCACCCCGTAGGATGGGTCCTGCCGATGATTAGAGGGCGGTACAACCGCCGTTGTCGGGGTGGGCGCCGATTCCGTGGGGAAGTAACCTTGATGATGATGCGGAGCTTGGTGCGGCTGATGATGCTGCGGGTGATGGTGAGGATGCTGCTCGTGATAGGGCACCGCGGTCGTGAACTCGGTCGAGTAGTGAGTAGGGGTGCAGGAATACACCGGGGAGTCATAGCATTCATCGTCCATCTTAATACCGAGGCCCTGGAGCTCCTGTCTGGTGTATCGCTGCGCCGTATAGGTCTCCTGGAAGCTCGGTAATGGCGTAGGACTGCAAGCAGAAATGCGTAAACATTTTATATCGCCGACCACCGAAGGCTACGTTGTCGGAAAACTTTAAGCGTAATACCGATAACAAATAATTGATAATTTCCTTGCTGTTACTGGATAAGCCCTGATAAGAAGTTACAATCGGCGTGTTAGAATATCACGAGTTTAGGGATCGTTTGTATACCTGAGAGAATCAGCTTGGATGTCTTCGGGGAGGGGTGGTGGTGGTGGTGGTGGTTGCGATGGCTGCTGATGGTGAACACTTTGCTGAGACTGAGCAGAGTCGTCGACCTGAGGCACGCCCTGCGGATGATTCCCGAGTTGCAATTCCGGAAAGGGATCCAACTCCTCGGGTAAACTTCCGGCATCCGTAGCGTCCGGATAGGGGCTATTCAGGAACTCCCCGAAAGTGCCGAAGGGACTCTGTAACGTGAAAAATTGCGGCTATATTTAGAAGCGATATTAACTCACAATCAGTAGTGATATAAAAATTAGATATTGCAATACACTATAAATTATACGTGTATATATTTTATTCAACAAAGTGATATTCATTAAGAGGAAGTAATTACTCGTAATAATAATAATTTATAGTATTAATCTAATATAAATAATGATATTTAAATAATAACTTTCATACTACACGAGAAAGAAGAATTTACATAATTCAGTAACATAACTCAGTAATTTACATAATAACATGACTTGTTAATGAAAATTTATGTCGCCAACTTTAATAGTATAACATACCTAGCACAGATTCTAAATGAATCGAAAACCGGAAAAGCGAATGATAAAATAGGGAGAAACGCAAGTAAAAAGATACCTGCGCCGAACGAGCCAATTTGAACACCATACCGACATGGACTTTGCGAATCTTTTGTTTTCTAATTACATACCGAATAAACGAGACTCGACTATTAACTTTAAACGCCGTTTTAAGTGATGTTTTCCTTTGGCGGAGCCGTCACGGTCTCCGGAGAGCCGCGCGAGCGGCAAATCGAAGCACCCAACTGCAAGGCGGAAACATTGTTCGACCACAATTGCGAGCCGCAGCGTCGAGACATCGATGTACAATCGAGGTGCGCAGTGAGGATGTTCGAGAGAGGATTGGACAAGCCAAGCTCGTATCGCGTGTTGTCTATAAGCTAGTGCTCGATAGAGACTTAGAGCCTCTCTCTCTCTCTCTCTTCCTCACCCTGCTCCCCTCTCATTCCCCGACCCACTTCAATCATTGATAGTCGATAGTCGATAGGCGGTAAAACACTGTACTAGCTCGCGATTAAATATTCGCGCGGCAATAGGATAATAATAATCGACGACCCGTACTGATACACTTGATAGATCGACTCGACAAGAAATTGTGTACGCCGAGATACTCTTAATGTACTACTCAATCGGCCGTAAAATTCTCAAACTACAGACAACTTTCAAAATTAATTTTATTATTAACGGCGGAAATTTATCACACCGCGATGCTCGAAGTGATTTGTGTAATCATATGATAAATGCTCTTCTCTCCACTTGCGCAATAAATTCGCTGTGTGTCGCAAACTAATGCATACTCAATTCTAAACAAAAGTAAGAATATCATTAAAATCAAAGAGTTCCGTGAAAAATATTCATTCAAAATTTGCAATTTATTTCCGAAGGAAGAGAAATGATATTCAAATATCGTTCTTGCGATACTCGTAAATGTACAAACGGTACGTTATCTCGTCGAAATTCGAACAATAATTAATTTTCTCAATGATCAAAATTAAATAGTTCGGTAAAAAAAATGTTGACTCAAAATTGCAATTTAATTCTGAGGGAAGAGAAAGGTTTCTCAAATATCGCTTGTGCAATATTCGCGAATGTGCAAATGGCACGTTATTTTGTCGCAATTCGAAATAACAGCAATGATTTTTCTCGACAACCAAGATGCAGCCGAGAGAAATCCGTATCGTCATTAACAAATTCGCGATCTGAATCAAGAAAGTATCTATTTTAAAATCCGAGGATGAAAACTGAAGATACCGCAAGACATCCTGCGACAGGGACTGAAGAATAACGGACGGAGGAGGAGGACGAGGGTGGTGGAAGAGGGTGGATATTCAATTTGCAAGTGCCGGTTCCGCTTCGAGCTGACATTTCGCTCATCGCTCCCTCGAGGACCGGCGATCGAAGCCTCGTCCTTCCAGACCGTGAATAAATGGCCTGCTAAACGGCATCCTAAAAGCACCCCTCCTGCTCCCCGAGCTTCTCTATTTTCTCCCGCTAAATTGTCGAGACAACCTCTTATTGCTCCGCTAATTCCGCGGCACATTCTCGTTTTAGCGATTAATTGACCGTAACGTCGTTTCATCCACCGCGGAAAAGGAGTCGAAACCGAGAGAAGATACGCGAGAAAAGCGAGAAGAGAGGAGAACCAGGTAGGACGGAATCCAGGTGGAATGCAGATCGTGCGTGATACGTGCAGATGATGATCGTAGGAATGTGGAGAGTCTTGTTACCGGACCAAGTGGGACCATCGTGGAATCCGAGAGTTCGAGAGAGTCGATAAGAATTAGATTCAAAAGAATCGGATCGCGACACGATAATCTCGGGCTGGTCGTGCAAAGGCGAGCTTTTATCGGTGGGAAAAAGTGGATGGCAATATTTCAATGATACTACACCACTCGGTTTTCGCGGTTGACAGGTAACGCTACTTTGCGTGTTTGCTGTGATAAGGAGGATCGTATGATAAGGAATGATGTAAGAAGAGGGAAATGGTCTACCGTTACTTGCAGAATGTTGCGAAGAAAGGACGAAATTTCAACTGTTTCTGAAGCTGCGGCGTCGATAAATTTCTTAGAGCTTGATTTAAAAAAATACTTTCCAAGATTCTCAGAAAAGAATTAATTCCATTAAGTTGCGTCAAATCTGGATAATTTTTAATTATCTAATGTCAAAGATTATATAACTCTATAAATTGCGTAACTCAACCGGAAAAGTACATGTCACGGTAATAAAAATTCATTTTTGAATTGACAGGAGATTACTTGTCTTGCGCGGCACGCTATTCCTGGATTTACTTTCTTTGAGGAATATTACATATCCATATTCCTCATAAGACCTTCTTGGAATTATTTATGAGAGGCGAGATGAGATGAGATATGAGCGTTTACATGGACGAATATTATTACGTAAAATTGCAACTTATGTTGCATCACGTAGACATGCAAGCGCGGAGGCGCTTAACCGATCCGTTCGACGCAAGGCTCACAGTGCAGACGACATTTCGGAATGGCAGTTGAATTTATTTCATTTTCCTTTTACCTCCTTCAACGCGTCTTCGAGATTTAACGAATTTGATGAACTTAATTCTAATTTAATTGGAGAAGAGAGATGCAAAGAAACGGGGCTCACCTGTGTCTGCAAAAGTAGCATGCTTGATGCCACTGTGAGGGCGGTCGTAGTCGTGGTGATGGACGATTGATTAGTGCAGGCGAGAACCGGAACGGTAGCAGTCGCTTGACGTTGCTGCTGTCGTTGGCGATGTAGTTGTTGTTGCTGCTGCTGCTGCTGCTGCTCTACCTCGCTACGAATAACAGCCACCGCACGCTGGCTACCGTTGCTGTTGTCGCTGTCGCCGTTCGGCGAATGCAGTTGCCCTGCAACACCCAAATGGAGACACTCGGTTATTATAATTTTTATATTAGGCAATCAATATCATTGGAGCTAAATTGAAATAAAGAAGAATCATTCTGATAAAAATGAAGAGAATAAGGATAGACGGTAAAGTAGAAGATACTTTGAGAAGAAATTGGTAAAGAAATTGAAAACGATATCATTGAAGTTAAATAAGATTATTATTAAAAATGTAATTGTGCCATCTAAATATACGTGAAATTCACGATATGCAATATGCAGCGCACGTTTCCCCAAAAAGGGGCTTCAGACACCGATAAATAATGCGCATGCACCCGTAGTTAAATGTTAGCAAATATGGAGTACAGACTAACATTATTCATTATGCGCGAAGAGGCACAAATGGATCGCAACCTCGTTTCTCGGCGTGAGAAAACTTTCTGATATGTCAATTTCAAACGATATTCCGCAGAACACTCTTTTTTTTTCTATCGCAAGAACGCCGTTAATATTGATGTTTAGCATTCCACGTGGCATACTGCACTTCCGGTACGCGGTACAAGAGCGAGTACAACTCGGTCACTCTCCGACGTTTAAATCTCCGCGCGCTTTGAAATCATTTCCGAATATCATCATAAAACGAGCAACTTATCTTTTGCAAAACGGCACGCAACCCGCAAAGAGCGTACTCGTCTCAATTTTGTGTTGAATAATCTTTTCCTAAATGCTTCCATGACAAAACTAGGCGACGACCGGTATACTTCAAGTATATAATTTTTCGAACGGCATTAAAACACAAGTCCACGCTCAAGTTTAAAAATCATGGAAAGAAAACGGAATATCTGAAGAATACATACAGTATCTACGATACTGCGAATGTCCATCATCCATGGTGATCATGTCTGTACGGATTACTGCGACTTGGAAAATACTACTACGGCGCCAGACATTTGTTGCTTCCGTTAACCCTTCTAAGTTTTAATGACCAAAGCAAGCCTGACGGCAAGGGGAGAGAGATTTCCGGAAACACTTTCACTACTATTCGGCACGATCAAGAGACTTGCAGTGGATCTTATTAATCGGTGAATCCTCGTCGTCGACTGAGCACTTGAGCGTCGTCGCGACGTCCTATATAGGGTGGTCTCGAACACCCCAGGGAGACATGAAATCATTGGCATTTAAAATACTACAACCCCGTTCTATACAAACAACCACGTACCCTGCCACCCTTCCTGATTATTATTACGCGATATTATCCCCCGACGGCTAAGCGATAGACAGTCTCCTGTCTATCTCATTGTTTTTATGTATATATATTTTTTTTTAATATTACCAACGACTCCTTTTGCGAACATTGTAGTATCTATTGCTATATCAATATTGTTAATAATTGAAACTTGGCAAATCTATGAAGCTGCCTCAGAAATTCCGCAATTGTATTTCAATTTGCACTTCTAAGGAATACCAAAACGCAAAGTTAATGACAAATATAAAAAGTTGTATCGGAATTATAAATAATCCGATACAAACATATTCGATCACTATAAGAGAACTCGCAATGTTATTTAATTACAATTTTACTGACGATTCTCATTCATCTTGAGCCATTTTGTTCGATTGCGAGAAACAACGGGGATAGAATCAACGATGATTTATCGAATCAAGCAGGAAGGGTTTCGATACGCGAGTAATCCGATACAACGACAGCCGGATGCAGGGCGTCCCGGCGCATCGAGATGCCACTCGTCGATAGTCACGGGCCTCGAAGTCGCGTTCGATTTAATTTCACGATCGTACCACGCCGGAGACCACCCACGGCGATCGCGAAGCATCGGCCGTAAGCGATTTCACCGTGATCGATTCTGCAAGGGGGTGTGTGTTGTGCGCATGGAAGAAGTGACGATTAGGCACAATGCGCCGGCTGTTATGACGAGTTGAACACGCGCGAGAGGAGGGAACGGGCTCATTGTTATCCGCGAGGCCGTCGCAAAGCGAACGGGGAAATCGGCGATATCTTCCGCGATCGATGAGGCATCGGCTGCGCCAGACTCGGCGATCCCCGGTAATTATATTATTTCGAAGCTCGCGTGTGGTGAAAATCTGCGATTATCGACAAAGAGAATGCGGGTTATTGAAAACAAATCTTTAAAATTATAGGAATTTGCGTGCGTTAGTATATAGAGGGATGCGTTAGTATACAGAGAATCGCTCGTTTTAGATATGTATATTTGCCGGCACTGTGGAAAACGTAGGCGTGCGGTAAACGTTTTCTCACCCAATTGTCTAATGCCAACATGCATGACATTTTATTATTACACAATTGGCTGTTGGGCACAACAAAAGTGAATTATATAAAACGCGCTCACATTTTGCTAGATAAATTATTACAGCAATTATTTTGATGTCATTAAATGTTCTTTAACTTAATACGTACGAGTATACACGTATATTTAGCGAGTTAATTAATCCGTCGAAAGAGAGCCCGCTATTGATCTGCAGAATTAAGAATACCTAGTCGTAAATCCTAGGTGCGTCTAATAATGTTTCTGTTAGGAGAAAATAAAGCAATTCGATCGATTATTCCTGGCACTAGGACGTCAGGAATTCTGGCCTACTAATTGCGTCGTAAACATCGACCTGATGCAATTAGCGAGGCTACCTGCCAGCTCTTGATAGTCGCGTGCTTCGGGGAAATAAAAACACTTATATGTTCCCGCTGCTATAAAATACAATGTCGTTATCGCCACGCAATAAATTAGCCGATACCAAGAGACCGTCAACCCGTAACGTAGTACGTTACAGTTACAGTTAATTGAACGCCGTTGTGTACCTTGTTCGTGATTATTTTTACGTGCGAAAATGGCACTTAATAGCCCGCCCGAGGAGATACCATAAAATCCGCGATTTAAGATTGCATAAAGGCAGAATGTGCAATTGCTCGCAATCTTATCTGCGAGAAATACGGTGGAAGTAAGCGGGCGCGTACATAGTAAAGGATGCGCTGCGAATACGAGTGCAATGTGTAAATAACTGTAATTACTTTCCAAAAAATTTAAACATATTACAGCAATGACGTTACTACAGAGCGTAAAAATATTACGTTGATAATTTTATAAAATAAGGAACACGATCTATTATCAATTTCTTAAAACGTTGCTCATTCCCCAAGTTACATGTAGCGCCGCTTCTCTAAGCTTGCCGATTGTTCCAAAAGTATAAACAAAAAAGACATTACGAAGCCGACGGGTCTTCCGCTCCAGATTTTTGCTCCAAGACTCGAAATGCTCCCTCTCGGTCGCGCCAACGGGCCGCATAACGGATCCACGTGCACGCGGAAGACCACGAGGACGGCGGCGACTAACACGCGCGACAGCGCCGTAGGCAGGGGGTGAACGCGCGGAGGGAGAGAAGCAGGGAGCCAGAGTAGGGCTTAGCAGAACGGCCGAGAGAAAAGAGTAGGGCTTAGCTGAACACCGTGTGCCAAGTGGATTGCAGCGGTCTGGTGTGCAGGGCCCTCCCACGAACCACGCCTCTCCACGTGCCAGCACGTGCACGCTCGTTCGCTCTCGCCTCGCTCGCTTCGCTCGCTCCCCTCGTTCCGCCGCGACCGCAGTTTCGTCTCGTGAATCGCGCGCATCCCTTCTTTCCACTCTCTTTCTCGTTCTCTCGTTCTGTCCCCTCACCTGTCTCCTTCCTTCAATTCACGTCTCGCGATCTTGCCTCCGCTTGGAGAACGAAGACTTCTGCTTGTCTCACGTATGTATCGGATATAACTCAGACGCGTTATCACGATAGGAATTTTGTGTGCGCGCGTGTGTGAATATGAATTATAACAAAATTAAGAAACCCAATTACCCGCGAAAGGGAAACACATAAATGCAAAGAGACAAGAAAGACACTTTCTATACAAGTTAATAATCTGATTAAACGCGCGAGAGCAGTTTTTTTTATATTGTCTTGTTTTTAAAAGTAACACATATAATGAAACGGACGTTATACGCCGCACCAAAATCAATTACTGAATGTACGTTAATTGAAGATAAATAGAGTTCGTTACAGTATATTGTAATTCTGAGATAAGATGCAGTCACGCGACAATATCTCTCATTTTAAGGAGCATCTCGGTGACTTCAACGCGAGCATGAGAAGCGACGTTTCTCGCGAGTCCCCGTATCCGGCGCGATCGATAAAGGCAAATGTTAGGAAACAAATCGAAAAACTTTATTAACGACGGATTTGAGTAATATACGTTCTTGAGCTAAGCATTATGGACTTTCTCCAGTCGGCCGCGCGCAGCTGGAAGAAGACCGTGCGAATACACGTTTTACACGTGCATGGATTCAGACGAATCTTCGTTACAGCACATGAAATTATATCCGCGTGCTGTAATATCGTAGATAGGCAGAGAAATGAATAGAATGAGTAGGCGGGGGTGAGCGAGACAGAGGAACCGCACTGCTGGAGATTGCTAAATCGGGGGGGGATCGGTCGTTGCTACGAGGATCGTAGCTATAATTCCGTTTTGCGCTCGTGTAGCCACGGGGATAATTTCATCCTTAGAATGATTCTAGTTGCCATAACTAGTAAATTACCATGGAGCGGATTATCTCTAAGAGCCATGCGGACAAGCGCGCGCGCGTCCTAAGCGCCCGCGCATCGCGCGGCGAAGAGAAAGGTATATTGTTGCTGATCGCCAAGTAACTCCCGGCAGATTCACCCATTATGCAAATCATCCGGACAATTCTACATGAGCTTACACGCTTCGCAGATTACAATCGGTTTTTCCGTCATTAACGATTAGTTCTCGACCGTCGTGCATCGGCCGTCGGGAGAATGTCCGCGAGAGGAATGCGCGTCCTTCTCCTCAGCGTCGCGGTAGAAAAATGTGCGAACGTTACAATGTATAAATACCCGGCTGAAGCGAAACTGCATTAATGCTTTACGATGTAATATCGAGAGCCGATGCGCTCGGTGTCTTACTTCGATTTTAACGCCATTCACATTCCGCAAATATTGTGATAAT